GAGATAAGATTGGCGTATCTCTGTCCCCCGCGAGTTGGTTTTGGAGCTTTGCGACACACACCTGCGCTCCGAAGCCGCATGTAACAGCCGCGCACACGCCGGCCCCGTCATTGTCTCCCCGCCGCGCTGGCGCGGGAACTCGAGGCACCTGCGGGCGGGGGCGTTCGCTCCTTCCCTGGGGTTTGATTCGTTCGCCTCCGGGTCACGCAGGCGCAGTGAGCCGGCTCCCGGGGGCGCAGGATTCCCGGCGCCGATGGGCGCCGATGGGCTGACGGGCTACGCTACGGTGTCTTCACAAATAAAGAAGCTCGAGATGGTCCGAGGGAATTTGCGCCGCGGCCCGGCTGAAGCAGGTTGCACGCAGCACCTAACTCGGCAGCCCTGAGGCAGGCGCTACGGCCCAAGTCCCATCGCTCAGCCACCGCACGTTTTATTCATTCATTTACCAGTCGATGGTGCAAAGCTGTGTAAAAGGGTGGTGTTTTGCTTTCCTTTCTAATCCCCATCAAAGGGGCGCCCCTGAAGCAACCCTGGACATGGGTGCTTTCCAGGAGCAAGTGCCGGCTGGGTGCCTGAGGGGGGAATGGGGTGGGCGGAGGCCGACGGGGCAGGGCCGCCTTCGAGCTGATCCTGGAGGCACCAGGCAGCAGCGGAGCAGAGCAGGCCCCGCAGAGGGAAGCGCAGGCAGACACGTGGCAGCTTCCACGCCCTGCGCATCCTGAGGCCCGGCAGCCTGTGGGCGGGGCCAGGCAGCCAGTGGGCGGGGCCCGGCAGCCTGTGGGCGGGGCCAGGCCACAGGTGGCTTTTCGCTCCCTGCCAGGGCCAGGCGGGGTGTCTCCTTGGCGCTGAGAAGCCACAGAGGGTTTTTTAACGGGAATAAACCGGGAAGGTGCTGCCTAGGAGGAGGACGGCAGACGGACGGGGTGGATTTTAAGGGGAGGACTCGGGCGGAGAGAATAGGTTGGAAGCAGTTGCCGTAGATCATGCTGGGCAGGCGCTCAGACACAGCGCAGGAGGCAGCCCATCCATGTTTCTCTCTCATCAATGTTTCTATCTCTCTGTCGCTCTCCCTTCCTCTCTTTAAAATCAATAAAGAGCCCTAGCTGGTTTGGCTCAGTGGATAGAGCGTCAGACTGTGGACTGAAGGGTCCTGGGTTCAATTCTGGTCAAGGGCACATGCCCAGGTTGTGGGCTGATCCCCAGTTGGGGGCGTGCAGGAGGCAGCCAGTCAATGATTCTCTCTCCTCATTGATGTTTCTCTCTACCCCCTCTCCCTTCCTCTCTGAAATCAATAAAAATATATTTTAAAAATCAATAAAGACATTTTTAAAAAGGAAAAAGAAACAGAGTTTGGTGACCAGTTGACATGGAGCTCAGGGAGAAGGGCAGAGAGAGAAACCCAGGCTGCCCTTGAACTTCAGACTTGGATACTCAGGTGGGGGCTGGGGGACACTAACAGAGGACCAGCACACAGATAGAGGGGGAGGGGGTCAGTCGGCCTCTCTGACCCCCCCCCCCCCCACTCTCCTAATCCTGGGGAAGGGGAGAGAGTCTCCCAGGAAGAAGACAGGGCTTCTAGCAATATCTAGGGTGGGGCTGGACCCAGGGGGGCAGTCAACATCCCTCCTGTGCGCCTTAGGGTGTCAGCCCTCTTCCTGCAGGTGAATCTAACTCTTGGGGGTACCTGGGGACTGGTCCCCATCGTCTGTGAGAAGGTTGCGTCTTTCTGAAGCTTCCATTTTTTCCTAATTCAGCTTTTCTTGCCATCCCCACGTTAGCCACCAGATGGCACCAGACTCCAGTGACTGAGAAGAAAAGATGGGGTGAATGTGGGGGGGCTACCCCTGAAAGGTCTGCATCTGGAGATCTGGAGGGGTGTCCACATCACCCAATCCTAACCTACTTCTTCTAAGATATTCTTATTATGGATACACTAGAGGCCAGGTACACAAAGTTCATGTGTGGGTAGGGTCCCTAGGCCTGGCCGGCGATCAGAGCCTTCCAGCTGCCAGCTGGGGCCTTCTTTCATTCCGCACCACCCCCTGGTGGTCAGTGCACATCATAGCAAGGGGTTGAACTCCTGGTTGGTCGAACTTCCAAGGATTCAACTAATTTGCATATTAGCCTTTTATTATATAGGATTCTACTTACTAGTATAAGTAGACTCTTTTTACATCTACATGTATGAAGAATATTTTCCTGAATATAAGGAATTCACACAAATAAGCTTGTCTTAGCCTCCCAAACCCCCTCTTTGTTCTTCAGGAAAAAACAGGGGAACCGGGGCAGAGACCAATGATACATTCCTCAAAGGTCTGATATGAAAAGCGGGAATTGGTCCAGTTAGATTACACGGGTGGTTCGGCCCAGTGGCGGGTCTGCATTCTGGCAGCTCCCAGGCAGGGATGGAGAGGGGCAGCCACGGGCAGGGTGTCAAAGCGCCCTGGGCACCCCTGCCTCCTCTGCGGCTCTAAGGCAGCCGCGACCACCGAGCTGCCTCTCGTTCCTCATTCAAAGACCTGAATCCGCTTTCTCCACGAAACCGCCCTGGCTCCGGGAGGCGCAGGGCATCCGTCCCACCTGGTCCCACTCCCAAGTCCCACACAGGCATCGCAGGCACCACGGCCACCCGCCCTTGTCCATGCGTTTATTCTGCAACCGGCCCACCAGGGTGCCCAGCCGCCGGTACCACCGCCCTGACCCCAGGGAGCCCGGGCCTGGTCGATGTGGGGTGCTGAGTGGGGCTGCTGTTTTAGACAAGAGTCAGGCCCGGACCTGTGACTCCCAGGTCTGTGCTCGGACATCCGGACCAGGCAGAAGGCGCAAGCAGGGAGGAGAGAGCAGGGCCCCGGAGGCCACGCCACTGAGGAGCAGAGGGCGAGGCCGGGACAAGGAAGGACACCCTTCCTGAGACTGACAGCCCCTGTGACTGACGGAGAACCGGCCAGGCTGCCTCCGGGACCACAGCCCAGCGGGACACCCTCAGGCCGCCCGCCCGGTGGCCCGTAGCCCGGCAGTGTGGCCTGCGCCCGTGTGAGCTGACGGAGGAGGCAGGCAGGCGGTGTAGGGCGTGTCGACAGGCAGCGGGGGGGGGGGGGGCGAGGAGGGGGGCCACGTGGCAAAAAAAAAATAAAAGTTCATAAAAAACCAAAAGCTGGGTGGGGTCCGGAAACCAGCTGAGCTCCTAAAAGTGGAAGTCCTTCAAGTCCGCGGAGCAACGGTGCCTGCCGGGGGGGCGCCGGGAGCACAGCAGGGCGGGCTGGCAGGGACAGGCGTGGTGCTGGCGTCTCCCGAGGAAGGGAACCTGGGGGAAAGGAGAGGAAGGATGACACTGTCACCCAGGGATGCGGGCCTCCTTGGAGGGCCTTTGCTGGGCCCGGGCCCGGGCTGCGTCCCAGCACCCCCGCCCCAGCACAGTCACAGCCAGGAGAGGAGGAAGCGGGGCACAGAGTGGCTGAGCAACGGGCCACCATCACACAGCTAATCTGTGGAGGAGCCAGGATTTGAACCCAGGGAATCTGGTTTCCCGAGACCATGGATCAGCCACAGCACAAGGCTGTCCACCCCCAACCCTGAAACCCCACAAGCCGCCAGCACTGGTCCCCTCACTGGCCCACCCAGGTGCTCACACACACACACACACACACTCCTCGACAGAATGTCACTTATAATTCACCCACCACGCGCCACAGTGGCGGGCCCTGGGGACGCAGCTGGACAGGACTGACACTGCTCCGCCCTGTGGTCACCCCAGAGCAGAGCTGAGCCCCGAGGTCCTCAAGGGGTTGGAGAGGAGCGATGAGGGTCACACTGCCTGGCTCGAATCCTAGGCCTGCCCCTCACCAGCTTTGTGACAATTGGCGAGTTATTTAGCCTCTCTGTGCCTCAACTTTATTATCTGTAAAATGGGTTCATAACAGCCTAACACATACGGTGGAAAGAGGCTTAAACTCGTACAAAGCACTTAGTAGGGAGAGTGGCTCCAGTCCCGGCTCTGCCTCGAGGGCCCTGGGCCCCGAGCAAGTGGGTGCAGTACCTTGTGGCTGCCGGGGTGGCAGGCCTCTCCTTCCCGCCCCAGCGGGGTGCACATCCGCAGGCCTCGGAGCCACAGGCTGACGGCGCAGCAGGTGCCCGGCCCACACTGGGCGTCCCGCTCACAGGCCTGAGGGGGGGGGGCGCAAAGGGGCATTAGGGCTCATTAGTGCCACCCAAAGAAACCAGAAGCAAAAAGCACACCCCAAAACCCTTGGGGGGATGCTGAGAGCAGTGCCCCCGCCCCACAGGGTCACTGTCCCACTCTGGGGGTAGGACCAGGAGGCCTGAGCTGGGGGCGGCGGCAGTTTGGGTGCAGAGGAGTGGGTGGCAGGACGCGGCCCTTCCTGGGAGCCAGAGGGGGTGGCGGCAGGTGGAGAGCACAGGGAGGCCAGAAGGTGGAGGCTGGGAGGGCGGCCGGGAGGCCGACTTGCCCTCACCTCCCTGTTCTACCCACGCGTGCATGTCCGTCTGTCACGCGTTTCCTCCCCCGAGGTCCCTCCCTCCCTGTGCTCTTCGAAGGGTTAACTTGGAGGACAGTCCCCCCCTGTCTCAGACCTGCCTCCTGCCACCAGATGTCAGCGCTCACAGGGAGGCCTGGGCCTGGGGTCACCCTGTGGCTGCCACCCCTCTGGGTGGGGTGACCGCGCTGCTCCCTGTGACGCCCTCCCCGATGGACGCAGCACAGTAGGAGAGCAGCCTCCGGGGCTCACACCCACTGGGTGCGGCTCTGCCCGGTCCGTCACATCTGTGCTCTGGGCCCAAAGCAGCGGCCGCCTTTCCTGTTTGTCCTGTGAAACTCGGGCTCTGGCCTCTAAAAGGAGAAGCCAGGCGCTCCCTCTGTGTGAGCACGAAACCAACCGATGCAGGAGTCGCTTGGCATTTCTCTACCTTCTCATCGTCCAGGGGGAAGTTGGAGGAGGTGGAAATAAAAGTGAATTTCCATCCCCTTTTTCCCTGCTGGCTTCTCTCTGGAAATCTCTGGGGTCAACTAGGACTTCCTGCGGCAATGGGCATGGCCCCACCACCCAGCACAGCCGGTGCCCACGCGAGGGTGACGCCGCGCTCCCGAGAGACCGTGCCCACCCCACCCACCCCCAGCCTCTGCCACGACCCATTTCTCCGGTTCCCCACACTGGCTTTCGGGCGACTCAGCCGATGGAGGGGTCCCCCTGCTCCCATCAGACTGGGCACAGAGTGAAAACAGAAACCGTCAGGGAGGGAGGGTTTCAGGACAGCCTCCACTGGGAGGGAGAACACAGAGGGGAACGGTAGCCGGCGGATGCTATGACGGTGACTGCCTTTAATGACGCCAACAGCTGTGTTCACTAAACTTGACCCGTGGACCAGACCGAACATGAAAACCCAAATGGACACGGAAGGTGAATTAGAAGGTGCCAATCCTTTCTATAAAGGTGTTGCCCCAAATAGGAGCCCTCATTTCACCAAGTTCCGAACGTAACATGTTTTCTGCTCCCCGAGAAAGGCATTGGGAACCGCCCGGGAGCTGCTGTGGGACGGCTGGCCCCTTCCCTTGGGTCTGCTCCCCTCCCACGCCCCCCCCCCGCCCCGCGTGGTCCCTGGCTCGCTCCCACCCAGACCCTGACCCCTCCCGAACCCCAGGGCCACGCCAGCCGACTTACCCCGGTGATCACCGCACAGTCGGACGCCGTCACCAGGAGCAGCACGACCCAGAGCCGCGTGGCAGCCCTCATGGTCGCTTGGAGTGAAGCAAAACGCGGGCCACTCCGCTGCCTCCGGCTTCCTGCTGCTCAGCCTCGAGCCAGGCGCTCGCGCCCCCGCCCCCTCCTCCCGGGTTTATACGGTCAGACTCAGGCTGCCTGCCGCGGCCTGTGTCTCTCTTCCCTTCCCCGCCACCCTGTTACTCAGAGGATCTCAGACGCGAAGATGAGACCTGAATCCCTAATGACATCAAATCACCATCAAAACCAATAAAAACGACAGTGGCTCTAAGTCTCCCAAATCGCTGGGATGCGGGCAGTCACGGGCATCGCACCGGGACCTCTCTGGGTGTCACAGTAGCACTGGCAGCGTGAGGCTGCGCGAGTATCCATCCGTTTACTCATTTATTCACTATTTATTATGACTGCTCTATCGGGGGCCCCATTCTTGGCCCTGGAAATAGAGCGTGAACAAAACCGGGTCCCTGTGTCCATGTAACTTTGGTGATTGATAAGCAAGTGGATTCGTAATAAAATGGCTGGATGAGCTGAGTGCTATGAAAAATGAAGTCAGGGGAAACGACAGAGCATGACAGTGGGTGGTACCTTAGACGGGGTGAGGGTGACAAGTGGTAACCACGCATTTGCGTCCCTGAAGGGAGGAGAAAGCCAGTGAGCTGTGCTGGGCAAAGGGCCTGGCCCCTGCTTCTCTGCTTAGCTTATGCCAATGTCACCGTTTCCCAGGACTGCCTGCATGTGTGTGCTAGTGTGTGCATGTGTGTACATGTGTGTGCTAGTGTGTGCATGTGTGTGTACGTGTGTGCGTGGTGCACAAGGGCCACGGGGCAGACTCTGACCTGCCCAGCTCTGCTCACAGGCCTTGGCCGGCTCCTGCTTCTCTCCTTCATCTTGCGCCTCATTCCTCTCCTTCCCCACGCAGTCAGCTTCTAGAAAGATAGACCACAATCCTCTTCACTCCCTCCTCACCCACTGCAGCTCCTCTGTCCCCACCACAGCAGTGAAACCGCTTTCTCTGCATCGCCCTTGACCTGCTAAATGCCAACCACCAAGCGTCACTTTCCATCCTCGCCCTGTTGCACCCGGCCATTGCTGACAGACACCGGCTCTTCCTCTCCATTCTTCCCCTTGACTCCCCGCCATCACTGCTCCAGCTCCTCCCCCTCCTCGGTCTCCTCCAGGCCCCCCCCCCCATTCCTTAAACAAGGCCGTTCCCCAGGGTTACACATTCAAGTGTCTCCTCTCCCACCACACGCACCCAAATGCACTCCAGGCCACCTACTTGCTGGTGACCCCAGATCTGTCCCCACGCAGGCACCCCAGGCTCCCGGCCCACACAGCCCCCAGCCCCCTGCAGGCCACAGGCTGATCCCCGCTGACTCCTGCATGCACATGCCCCTTTCTCTGCCCGTTTCTCACCCTCCCCCTTAAACCCACTCATGCTGCCCAGGGTTCTCAGTTGCAAAATAGCCGAATCCAGTCTGGCCGGCCCAGGCAGAAAAGGGACGAACAAAGACTATGACGCAGCTCATTGAACTGTGTGGAGTCTTGAGAAACGGGATGGAGCTGAGGGTCCAACCACAGTGCCCGGAGCCTCACCACGAAATTGCCCAACGAGGAGAGGGCTCCCCCGGCTGGACCTGAGGCTGCGGTCCAGGCCCCACGTGGAGCCCCGTTCTCCGTGTTGCTTCATCGCCGCAGAAGGCACACGCGGGCTGTCTGGTCGCAGACCCGGCGTGTCACACCCGCACCCGCCTGCACGGGCACTGGGTGGAACCGACTCCAGCTGTATCAGGGAAGAGGCTCACGTTTCTCAGGCGGCCACAGCGCATGCGTTGGTGGCACTCAGTAGGCGAACCTGGGAGCTTCCTCGATTCCTGAATCGCCTGCTTTCATGCGTCATTGAATCCTGTCACTTGGCCACCCTCCTCCCCCGGAACTCAGATTCGCCCCCTTCCGCCCTCACCACCACTGCCCCTTAGCATCTTCCTGGCTGGAAGATTGACAGGACAACTGCCTATGCCACCTGCCCCCCACCAGCCCCCAGGGCCCACCGTGGGGACCCCTCAACCTTGGAGAAGGGAGCCAGTGCATGAATGCTGCAACCAGGAGGCCCGAGACCCACTCCTTAATGGCATTCCCGCCCCCTCTCCCCGATCCCCGCTCCTGTTTGCTGGAATCGCCTCCCAAGGAAACCACCCGCGACCAAGACTTTGCCTCGGGCTCTGCTTCCTGAGACACCCAAGCCAAGATGTCACTCAACGTCTTGGGACTTCATCTCCCTCCTCTTCAAAATAAGAGGCTTCTGGAGCCGCGGCCCTGGGACTGTCCTGCAGGAAGGGGACCTCTGGGGCCAGTGAGGCCCAACCGAGGGCCCTGCACCTGTCTCACCAGCCGAGAGCACCGCACCTGTCCCGCCAGCAGAGGGCGCCGCACCTGTCCCACGGGCAAGCCCGCCTCGGCTGTCACAGGCTGGCGCCCACGGGAGGTCACCTTTTCAGGACTTGTGCTTTGGCTGGTTCCGGAAGGAGAGCCAGTCCCCCGGGCTCACCTGCTCAGGTAGGGAGGCGGCGTGACTAGGCCTCCCCTCCAGGATGCACACGGAGCCTCCACCTGTCTGGTCATGGGATCGCGTCCTAAAGAAGCACAGGGTGAGTGCGTGCCCTTGGCTGCATGTTTCCAATACATTTCTGGACCTTCCTGTCTGGGATGGATTCCTCTTCCCTTAAGAGGATTCCCAGGCACCAGAAATCCCTCTGGTTCATTAACTTGCTGGTTCCCCCGTGAATGTCAAAGCCGCCCCCTCGATGGGACGTCCCCTCCATGGGAGCCCAGCGATGTCTCTGAAGTGGCCGAGGCCATAACGGGGCGGGGCAGGGGGCTCCCAGACCAGAGGGCTCCGCCTCCTGGAGTCTAATGAGTCCCGGCTGAGCCCCTCCTGGACACAGCAGGGCAAAGAGGAGGGCAGGCCTGAGGGGCACGGAGCAGCCGTGGAGAGTGCAGCAGTGCCAGAGACCCTGCTCTGCTGCTCCTTGCTGTGTGGCCTTGGCCAAGTTACTCAACCTCTCTGACCCTCCGAGGGTGGCTGGCCTGAAGACGGAGGGGTCACCAGCGGAAAGGAAGATACTGTGATGTGGCTCCATCGTTACTGTGACCTGGCTTCTCCCAGGGCAGCTGGCGAACTGGCAAACGGGACCAAGGCCCAGCCTGCCAGGCCGCGGAGCCAAGCCCAGGTCGCTGGGGGCAGGCCCCTGGGTGAGCTCGCCACTGACGGCCAGCCCAGCCCGCGCATCTCGGGAAACACAGCCCTGTGCAAGCAGGAGGCCTGGCCCACCCTCCCGCGCCCTGGGGGCCCTGCTGTGACAAACCCCAAGATTTACCCGGGATCGTGGTCTGTGAGCAGCCAGAGGAAGCAGACGGTGTTGGCCGGTCCCTGAGCCGCTGAGCTCCACAATCCCTCACACAGGGACCCTCGGAAACACGTGGGAAGGAAACTTCAGGGTGGTCGACGCCGGGGTGTTGACAGAGCGAAGGAGCTGCGGGAGCCACTCCACAGTCAGGCCCGGAGCCGGGCGCACCCACAGGAAGGGGCATATTCCCAGGCGTTGACTGGACGAGGCGATCATCGATCATCGGAAGCCGCAGTGGGAATACTGACAGCTGAGGACAACTCTGCAGCCGGCTTCCCACTGAATCCACACTGCCTCCCGCGGGGCCCCAGAGCCCTGGCCCCGAACAGCGGCCGCACCGCTCTCTTCTTCTCATTAAAAGGCAATCCTTCCATTTCTGAGGCTGCAGAGTATGCGGTGGTGGCTTTAATGGTATTCTTTAATCCGTGCACTTTCATGCATTTGAAATATTTCATTAAAATAAATTAAAGCAATTAAATTAAAAACAAATAATTCTCTTGGTGGCAGATTGGCTAACTCAGTGAGCTAACGCACCGGGTGTTGGTTGGTCTCCAGCATCGGGACACTTACTACTTCCTTCTCCCCTCCCCCGCCCCCCACGCAGGATTTAACGACTAAACAGGTCTTTTCTTGGGGAACAGGTTTGGAGCAGCAGCTGGATGCTGTAAGGCAGGAGGCCCCTGGGAAGCAGGGGGCCAGGGGACACATGGCCGAGGGCACGGGCCAGCTGTGCGGCACAGCGACAGGGCTCTGCCCTTGCCTGCCCTCGGGAGGAGGGGCGCCCCAGGCCCCCTCCCAGCTGTCCTGCCGGAGGTGGGAAGACCCAGGCCGGGTTAGGAACTGGCAGGAGTGGGGCTGCCTGTGACAATGTGAGAGAGACACATCTAGTCTTAAACCAAAAACTGGGCCAGAAAGAGACCCCATGGCTCTCATAGCCCACCTTCTTCCACCCACCCCGCCGTCCCAGCACATGTTCAATGAGTCCCTCCCGGTGATGATGAACTAACCCGGGAAGGCGAGGGCTTCCCTTTCCCAGGCCACTGCGGACCGATCGGCAGGGCTGCCCAGAGACCTGTGTTGCGTCTGAAAAGCCATCTCGGGGCTCCGTGGAAAAGGCGCCACCGCTGCCCGGTGTCTGCCACAGCCCAGGTGGGACGGGGTGGCCTCGGGCCATGCGTGTTCTAACCAGGGGACTCTGCTCAGAAACCATCCGGAAATGTCAAGGAGACAACCACCACCACAGGCTCGGGTCCGGGGAGTTCCACCTCCCGGGGGGGCCCCGGGCTGTTTCTGCCTCCACCACAGAGGTGGACTCTACGATGACTCCAGCCTCGGGCCGCCTAGGCCGGGTCACCCAGAGTCCTCCCCACGAGAGCTATGGCTGTCGGCGATGGGAACAGGGTTACAACCCGCCATGCTCCTCCGTCCCTGCTGTTCACGGAATTAACCTTTTGAAGGTTTTTAACACCCTGGAGACCCTGCCACCTAGGGTGCCGTTCCTTTCTAGGGAGGTCCCCCCGCCGGCATCCTGGGCAGAGGCTGTGACACATACACAGGCCGAGCACCTGAGGCCTGGAGGTCGCAAGGTCACTGGTTCCCATGGAACATCACTTTGGGAATCGTTCCCCAACGACCACTCTGCCTTGGGGAGCACCCTCCTGGGAAGGCTCCCTATCCTGGATGAGCAGCCTCTCTCCCTCCTTCCCGTCCCCCTCTCTCGGGGATGAGCTTTGACCGAGCTCACAGGCCCGCCCTGAATAGACTCTGGCACACCCACAGACAAAGGGGGTGTGTGCCACGTACAAGGCAAGTCCCGTGGGTACAAACCAGCTCAACGGGCTGGAAAGGACATCAGGGTCCCCAGGAAGGAGGTACGTGACGGACACAAAAGAAACCTAGTTGGGCAGAACAGAACGCGCTTGGATGGGGGAGTTAAGGCGCCTGGGACTGAAGCTCGCGTACTGATGTGGGAGATGCTAACACTGACTGCCACGTGGGAAAGCTGGGAGCAAGAGAGAGCGGACAATGTGATTCCATTTCTCCATTCCGCACGTGTGTGCGCGCATCACTCAGAGAAAAGATTGAAAAGAAGCGAACTAAAACGCTCCGCTTCATCCTGGCGAGGAGGAATTGCTAATGGCCGTGGGCTTGGTGGTGTCTGTTTTGGTGGTTCATTTGTCTTCATATGTTTGTGCATTTTCAAAGCTTTCTCTCTGGGCATGCATTCTTTTTGTCATAGGAAACAAAAGAAATGTTCCTTTTAAATAATTATAAAGAGGGTGGGAAAGGAAAAATGAGAAAAGAACTTGAGTCTGGGGATCATTTAGGCCTATGCCCAGCTGGACCCTCCTTCTCTCCTTTGGCTGGTGCCCTTGGACAAGTTACTTCCCTTCCCCGGGCATCCGTCTCCTCCCCCTCAATCGCCAGGACATGTGTAGACAGAAGCCAGGTCCTTACTTGCATGGTGGCTGGAGCATTTTCAGAGCAAAGCTGCTTAGCAGCCAGCAGCAGATGGTTGCGGTGCGAGGAAGAGGTTTTCGGTTTCTTCTGCTGAAACTGAGGCTGTAGAGGGACATGAGGTGGCACAGCTGGGAGGCACCCACACTCGCCGCCAAAGTGCCCAGAAGCGCCTCCCGCCCAGGTGCAGGGAGTGGGGACACCCGGCACCTCTGGGACTCCAGTCAGCGAGATGCGGCCCCACCGGTGGCCGGGACTGACGTGGGAGGGGGCGGGGAGGTGGGTTCGCCTGCAAGGTGGTGACCCACAGGCCAGGGACACAGAGGGACGCAGGGATGGGCCTGAGCATGAGTGGCTCCAAAGGCTTCGGGGGACACTGCACCCCGTGGGAAAAAATAGGGGCAACATGCAGCGCCTGCAAAAGGGCCACCCTGGCTCCGTCCTGCTGTGTAACTGGCTCCAGAGCGCTGAGCTAATCCCAGCCAGAGCCCCCGGCGGGAGCATCTGCCACCTTCCGGCTGGGTCTCCTGGAGCCTCTGTCCTCAGGAACACGAGAGGAGGAACAGAGCGGTCAAGAAGTTAATTGAAAGCAGCAACAAGAGCCTCTCGAATGCGTAATAAGACATTAAATGCGCCTTTCTCCAGGGCAGACGTGGCGTCTGTGAGCTTTCCCTCCGGGAGCCGGCCGACGGCCCCCTCCCACCGGTCCCTGTCCCGGGAGGAGATGCTCCCGCCCCCAGCGGACAACAGCTGTTCCCTCTCTAGTAAAGCTACAAACAGTCCGTCCTCAGCACCAGCCGGGCCACAGAGGTCACATGGCACCCAGAGCGGCTCTTCCAAGAACAGCCAGCGGGACAGCGCTTCTGTCTGTGACGGGCCTGGAAGAGGCTCTTGCATTTCTCCGCCAGGTGTCTGCATCACTGAGTCTGAGTAACTCCTCCCTTGTGTGGCTGCTTAGCCCAAACCAAACCGGAAGCCAAGCATTTGGAGCCGGAGGGAAACCCGATTAGACAGCACCCCCAGTGCCCAGCACAGAGCCCAGGACCCGAGGGCAAGGTCCCCGTCTGATGGGTGAGAACGTCGGGAATCCCAGGACTGGTCGTGGTCACGGGCGCCATGGGAAGCCTGGCCCGCTGCTCCTCACTGGCCCTACCGCCTCGCCCTTCCTGTCCGTTCCATTCCACAAACCAGACAAAGAGAGGCGGCAAAGACCAGGGAGACAGCCCCTGCCCAGAAGGGAACAATTGGAAAAACAAGGACCTAAATGACTGTGATGTTAAGAAAGAATACTAACCAGCCCAATCCTGGAAATCAGGCCAGCGAGGGCTTTGACGTCAGCCGGCCATTGTTCCCAAGCACCCAGGGGAGTGTTCTCGGTGCCTTGGCTGCTTACCATCCATTCAGGGCTCAGACTCCGCGAAGTTACCGAGTGACATGGAGATCAAGTCCAGCAAAGACATAACAATTTAAATCCAACAGACAAGGTAACACCAAAGACTGATTAGCTAATTGCCCTGTAGGACGTTAACCAGTTTTGTTTTATTTTTTAATTGTGGTAAAATACACATCACATTTTACTACCTTAACCATTTCTAAGTGTCCAGTTCAGGGGCGTTAAGCACATTCACGTTGTTGTGCAACTGTCACCACATCCATCTTCAGAACTCTTTTCATCTCCACCAGACAATCCTCACGAACACGAACCCCCGTTCCCTCCAGTCCCCAGCCCTGGCCACTGCCATTCCACTTCCTGTCTCTGAGAGCCCGACTCCTCTAGGTACCGCGTGTAAACGGAATCACTCAGCATGTGTCTTTGTGGCTGGTTCATTTCACTGAGCATAATGTCCTTACAGTTCACCCATGATGTAGCATGTGTCCGAATTTCTCTCCTTTTTGAGGCTGAATAATATTCTGATGTGTGCACGCACCACATTTGGCTTATCCATTCATCTGTCGATGAACACTTGAGTTGCTCCACCTTCCGGCTATTGTGAACAATGTCGCCATACATATAGGTGCACAAATCTCTCTTCAGACACTGATTTCCGTTCTTTTGGAGACATACCCACAGGTGGGATTGCTGGGTTATATAATTCTGTTTCATTTTTGGGGGAGTCACCATACTGTCTTCCACAGCAGCCTAACCGCTTCACATCCCCACAATAGTGCACAAGGGTTCCAATTTCTCCATATCCTCTCTAACACTTGTTATTTTTTACCGTATTGATCATAACGGGGGTGAGGTGGCAGCTCATTGTGGTTTTCATTTGCATTTCTCTAAGACTAGTGAGGTTGAGCATCTTTTCATACGCTTACTGGCCATTTATATATCTTCTTTGGAGAAATGTATATTCAAGTTCTTTGCCCGTTTTTTTAAATCAGTTGTTCGACATTTTTGTGGTTGACTTGTAGGAGCTCTTTATATATTCTGAACTTTAACCCCTTACCAGATACAGGATTTGCAGAAGTTTTCTTCCATTCCGTGGGCTGTCTTTTCACTCTGTTGATAGTGTCCTGTGATAAAAGTTTTAAATTTTGATGTAGCCCAATGTGTCTATTGTGTTTTTGGTGTCATCTGTAAGAAATCATTGCCAAAGCCTATGTACGAAGATGTTTCTTTGTTTTCTTCTAAGGGTTTTATAGTTGTAGCTCTTACCTTTCGGTCTTCGATCCACTTTGAGTTAATTTTTTATAAGGTCTAAGGCAGAGCCCAACTTCATTCTGTTGCAGGTGGGTGTTCATTTTCCCGGCACCTTCTGTTGAAAACAGTCTTTTCCTCATTCAGTGATCTTGGCACTCTTGTCGAAAATCATTTGCCCATACACATGAGGACAACCGGTGTTGTCTTTTAACCTAGAAATTTTACTCAAACATTTCCCTTTAAGTGTTTATCAATATCCAGTTCCTCAAAATGCTCTTGAACCAGCGTTGCCATCTTACCGGTTCTCTCATCCACGAGTGACTAAACCTTCGGTGCCTGTCCATTCCACCTTTTGCGAAAGCCATGTTTTGAAACGTTCGAACATCAAGCTTTCACAGTAACGTTCAAAGGCTGTGGGTGTCAGGGTGAAGGCCACGTCCAGCTGGGGGATTCAAAAACCTTTTCACGTTTGAGATCCGCCTTATGGCCAACGGGTGGGCTTCTGGGAGGGAGAAAAGGTTTGGGGCACACATTTCGGACCCCAGGAATGGCAGTACGAATGCTTGCTTGCTTGATTTGCTTCTTTCGTGGGTGTCTTAGTGAACGCCCGGCTAAACGGGGGTGATCCTTCTACATGACAAAGCCTAGGAACACCGCCTGCCTCTCATCTGCTGTTTCTCTTCTCAGCCCTTCACACGGGCCCCCCTGCAGCTCCAGGGAAGGCCAGCATCTCCCATGCCCCCACCGCCCCACACCCCCTCCCCTCCCCCACGAGAGGCTAAAAAAACCCGGGCCTCTCCTTCCACACGCGCGTCGTCTGATTCTGCCTTAGCTAGGGAATCGCATTTCCTGGCTGACTCCATCCGCCACGTGGGGCCCAGGAACTACCTCCCGACAGGCTCTAAGGGTTACCAGCATCCATCACAGGACAAGCCGCGAACAAGCCTGAGACGGAGCAGCTGTCTCTGGCGGATCCGACGTGGGATTCATCAGGAACGTCTTTCTGGCCACACCACAGAGGGCAACCCCTGGGGCTCTTGACTCCGGAGGGTGCTTCTGTCCTGGTTGGAGCAAAGAATCAGCATGTAACGCGGAGAGGTGTTCCGAGGATCTCAGGTGCACACATTCCTCCTGGGTTTTTGAAATCACGTTGTGGTCTCCAGGCTTCCCGAACCTGAACTTCCTGGCCCAGGGACATGACCTCTCTCAGGCTCTCGGTGGCCACAGGGGCCTGCATCACGGCTGGACAGCCCAGATGCCCCCGTTCTGACTGGCTGAGACTCACTGCCCTCGCCTCTCCTCGGCGGCCATCCCAGCACAGGAGTAACCAAGGGAGCCTGTGGAGCCTGAGCCCCACTGCACCTGCTGCCCATCCTCCAGCCCTCCTCCCGCCTCAGCTGCCCGGACCCCAGACTGAGGCCTCCTGGCGGTCCAGCCCCTCGGCCTGGCTCAGCCTCTACAACGTAGAGGGCACATCTCCTGGGGGCCAGCGGGACTCCCTAAGAGCGACCATGGGAGGAGTGACCAGAGTGGAGACCAGGCTCAGGGATCTCAGAGCAGAGCCACCTGGGCTGCCTTTCAGGCTCAATAATGTGCACACACTGGGTGCAGTCGAGGGCAGGCAGGCTCAGGGTCAGCCAGGCTGCATCTGACTTCACCTTCAGAGCTGAGCAGCCTTGGGCAAGTCACTCAACACCTCTGAGCCCCAACTGGCACATCTGCAAAATGGTGCTAATAAGAACACCTCAGAAAGCTGCTGGATCCTATATAATAAAAGGCTAACGTGCAAACTGACCAAACGGCGGAACGACCGGTTGCTATGACATGCACTGACCACCAGGGGGCAGACGCTCAATGCAGGAGCTGCCCCCTGGTGGTCAGTGTGCTCCCACAGGGGGAGCGCCACTCAGCCAGAAGCCGGGCTCACGGCTGGCAAGCACAGCAGCAGTGGCGGGAGCCTCTCCTGCCTCTGTGGCAGCACTAAGGACCCCTCGGGGTCCCGGACTGTGAGAGGGCACGGGTTGGGCTGAGGGACCACCCCCCCCAAATTTCACGAATGTCATGCACCGGGCCCCTACTATAAACATAAAATACTTAGTACAGCCCCTGGCAATCATCAGTCCTCAGCAAACGTTTCTTGCTTGTGGGTAGAGGTGGATTTTCTCCTGTTTGTGTGGATGTGTGTCTCTAAGAAAACAAAGTATTAGAGAAAGGACGGGTAGCAAAGAAGCCAGAGAACTTGCTCGTTTCCCTGGACGTTCTCTTCGCTGATTGATGTTTCTATCAACTCACAGCGGAGGTTAGTCCCAATTTCATATTCGCTTGTCCGGAGAGTGATAAACTGTTATCTCCTTAAAGTCATCTGTGCTGCCTTCAGATCGCCCTTCACTGTGACAGATGGGACTGCATTCCTCTTCCTACCCCTTTGGCAATTGAGAAGATCAATGAGACATTAGTCTCCGTGCCTGTGCCTCAGACTTTCTCCGGGTGGAGGGGGGCGGGGCAGGGGGTGCTGATGGTTCAGAATTAACGTGGCAGTTGATTTACTAGTGGTGTCTACAGGCAGGAGGACCAGTCCTCCCACTGCTGGGAGGGGAGAGGAGAAGGCAGCCCTTGGCCACTTCATGGGACCGACTCACAGGCCTGTGCTGCCCACCTGGGTGAGAGGCCAGGAACAGAGGGGCTGGCTTCTCTGGGATCTGCGTCCTGGAGACTGGCTCACCTTGGTCTTAAAAGTCCCAAGGCCATGGACGCCTTCAAGTTCTGTGACCTTGACAAGAGAGTTGACCTCTCCAGACCTCAGTGACTGCATCCACAAAATGGGATTCCTCAAAGGATGACTGTGAGATTAAAATGAGATGATTTGGCCCAGCTGGTGTGGCTCAGTGGTTGAGCAATGACCTATGAACCAGGAGGTCACCGTTTGATTCCCAGTCAGGCACATACCTGGGTTGCAGGCTCAATCCCCAGTAGGGGGCAGGAGGTAGCCGATCAATAATTCTCTCTCATCATTCATGTTTCTATCTTTCTCCCTCTCTCCCTTCCTCTCTGAAATCAATAAAAAAAAAATTTTTTTTAAACGATGATTTGTGTGAATGGATACAATTGGTAAAATTTTCATCTTTAAACACAAGAGTAAGTGCAATGTTCTTGAGTGAGAAACTGGCCAAGTTTGCAGATATTAACACTCAGGCCTACGGAGGTGACACCATAGCAGTCAATCAGGAGGCTGTCCCCTGCCCCTGCTGCTGTTGATGTGAGCCGGAATGCAGCGTAGAGGAGGGTGGAGGGGCAGTTGGCGTAGAGGAGGGTGGAGGGGCAGTTTCCTCGGAGGGTCCCACAGGAGCCTCCTCTAATAGAACAGCCCGGAAGTGAGCGCTTCTGAGAGCCAGAGGCCTCCTGGGCGCCATGGGGGGTCCAGACAACACACTCAGATTCTGAAAAGGTCTTGACCCTGAGGGTTTGGTGTTTCTCTTTTTATTCTCCTGCCCCTCCCTCTAGTCTTTTCCCAGAAGCAGCTCCCTCCCTAAAAGGCGTGGGGAGGGACCCTGCCAACCCTGCCCCTCCCTCCCTGACCCCACCACCTCTCCTTAAAATCTGGTGCCTGAAAAGGCAGCGCTGGCCGGGCTGTGGGAGCGCCAAACGAACAGGTTGTTCCCGGCCAGGCCCTTCTCTAATCCAAAACAAACCGTGGGTTTTTTCCATGACCTCTAGCTTCGTTACCTTTAAAACACACGTGCTGGGACTGAGCGAGTTCTGCCCGTTTACTGTGGCTCCTCGCACAGGATCCTGAGAATTAGGAGTGAGAAGAAAGAAATGGCCCTGCGGAGCCGGCGAGGCCACGGCATGAAGCTGGCGGACAAGCGGGCTCTGAGCAGCTCTCAAATGCCATGTCTACCCTCCCCTCGGGCAGCAGAGAGAGCAGAAAGCACTCCCCTCCCTCTGCCAGGGAGTGGCCGGCGCCCAGTGGCTCTGGGGCTGGGGAAGGGGCTGGGGTGCCGACCTCAGAGCGTCTCCTCACGCAAAGCGAGCGAGAAGCCCTGCGTAGGAGCCACTGGAAATGCTCCACGGAAGGCCTCTGCCACGCCCAGGGCACTTTCCAAACAAACACAGAAGCAGAACACCACGTCCTCCTGGGCTTGCCTGGCGACTAAAGCCTGGCACGTGACCCAGGCCACTGCTCGCATTTACCTGTGAAGCGGGACTGCCACGCTGTGGGCTAAGGCACAGCCAGGCACGGGGCAGGGGGCAGGGGGCAGGGGGCAAGGGACAGGGGGCAGGGGGCAGGACAAGGTTCCTTCTGCAGCAGTGACGTCGGCATTGCAAGCTGTGTGGGCGGGTCCAGCGGGTGGTGGTGGTGGCAGGGTGTTTTCCTACTGGGGGCTGGGGGCTTTGTCACTGGAAACTTAGACTGAGTTCTCCAGGCCCCCCCAACAACCTGGGTAGCCACGAGCTCCCCAGTGTCTTTTTAAACCCCCTTCCTACTCCACACGGCAGAGCTAGCTTCCGTTGTGTGCACCAAGAACCCTCAAGGACAGTCTCGTTCAAGTTTGCCTGAGTGGTCGTTCCTTGGGGTCCTGGCAGCAGCAACAACTCTGGGCATAACACCGCCACTTGTCCAGAGCCGGGGGACGGTGCCATGGGCTCTGTGTACAGTCTCATGGGATTCTCACACCTGGTTCACAGTAGGGAGAACGGAGCCATTAAGGGATGAGGGGACTTGTGGCTCAGTTGGTGACCTATGAGCCCAGCAGGGGGCGTGCAGGAGGCGGCCGATCAATGATTCTCTCATCATTGATGTTTCTCTCTCTCCCTTCCTGTCTGAAATCAATAAAAACGTATTTTTAAAAATAATAAAATAAAATAAAAAGAGGGGAACTCAGAGTTGTGAGTAGACGAGCTCTTGGAGCTCAACATGATTCCAAGAGAGAGGGAAGCAGCAGTGGGAGAGGCAGCGCTGGCCAGGCTGTGGGGCGGCAGTGAGGGCATCCGTGGCCGGATGGGCACAATCTGGCGGGTCCTGAGGACCAGGGACACCCTACTATGCTCACAGCTGGTGAAAGAACAGAGATATCTGGCCGTCCAAGGGCTTCCCGGGACAAGGGCAGAGATTACTGACAATGGAAGGTATTGTTACCCCAGAAGCTATTCTCTGAGCCCCCCAGGGCTGAGGGGATGGGCAGCGGCAGGTGGCAAAGGACGCAGCAAGCACGTCAGTGCGCAGGTCTGCCTCTCCCACACATGCTAATACAGGAAATTCTTCTGCCTCCGTTTCAAGCACTTATTTGATTTGCATAATTCCGAGGCCAATAAATCTCAGCATTAAGGCTGAATTGACGTGTGGTGCAGACAGGCTAATTACGAATGAGGCATTTTATCAGCTCCTCTAAATTTTCTTTTCTCTGGCCTACAATTTTTTATGCTGGGTTGATCATTCTTTTATTCACAAGGGCTTCGTTCCGATTTGTCAAGGCTGCATTAACAGGGCAGCGAATGGAGACTTAGACATGGAAGTCTGAGCGCATTTATCCTCAGTGGCAAAATGAATGAAGCAGCAGGAAGAAAGCCTCCTGCGCTGGGACCTCGCTAGCCAACCCCGAGTCGCCTCAGATATCTTTTGCTTGTATCTCCCAGAACCGGGCTCGGCTGTAAATGCTCGGAGGCAGTGCCAACCTCACTGTCATCGACTGAGAGCCCAGCTCACTGCTTAGAGAGGCTCGGGTCAGAGCGGCCAGGGGTGTATTCTCCCACCCACTCCCTCTCCACACACTCAGTGAGCACCTTTCAGGCCAGGCTCTGGGGTATAAAACAGACTCAAGTCCCAGTCACATGGATCATGCCACCACGGTTGGCCAATGCAAGAAACATATCTTAGCCAAGTATCAAGGCTGGGAGCATGCTGGAAAGATTATCTGCTCTCTTCTCTTGCCTCGGGGAGGGTGACCCTCCCAACTGGTTTTTCTATTACATAAGGGCTGCCACATGCTGGGGGCATCACAGACAGTGACTTTGACTGGCAGGATTTATTACTATTTGTGTATATTGGCTTCTCAGGGCTGTCATAGCAACATACCATAACCTGAGTGGCTTCAACAACAGAAATGTAGTGCCTCACAGTTCTGGGGGCGAGAAGTCCAAAATCAAAGTGTTGGCAGGGTGGGTTCCTTCTGTGGCTGTCAGGGCCTCTCTCCGTGGCTTGGAGGTGACCGGCTTCCTCCTCTGTCCTTTGGAGGAGGAGAGAAAGAAGAAGATAGAGGTGGTTAAAGTTTGGTATTTAAAGGCTCTTTACCTTACACAGAGTCCACTCCCAAAAGACCCATCAAGATTCTTCAGTAAATATGGGCTGGATTCCTACGTGTCCCCCAGTGCTCACATGAAGAAAGGGAGAAGATGCTCTTCCTGGCTTTGAAAAGTAAACATAAAAAATTACAATGCGATACCCTGGCCAGTGTGGCTCAGGGTTTGGGTGCCATCCTGTGCACTGAAAGCTTGCAGGTTCCATTCCCAGGCAGGGCACATACCCAAGTTTTGGGCTCAATTCCTTGGGGGGGGGAGTGTACAGGAGGCAGCCAATCGATGGTTCACTCTCACATCGATCGATGTTTCTCTCTCTCCTTCTCCCTTCCTCTCTCCCTAAAAATCAATAAAAATATATATTTTAAAATTACAATGCAATGAGGTAAGTACTCCAACATGGGAGTCATGGGACATTCCCTGTCATCCCAGAAACGGCTGTCAGCACTCAAAACTGAGACTCAAGAATCATCAAAGAGCCCTAGCTGGTTTGGTTCAGTGGAAGAGGGTCCGCCTGCAGACTGAAGGGTCTCCGGTTTGATTCTGGTTAAGGGTACAAGCTCAGGTTGCAGGCTCGATTCCCAGTAGGGACTGTGCAGGAGGCATCCAATCAATGATTCTCTCTCATCATGGATGTTTCTCTCTCCCTCTCCCTTCCTCCCTGAAATTATATATATATATAATGTATGTATGATTTATTTATTTAAAAAATAAAATAAAATCATAAAAATGACTCATATTTTTATTGGACCTGGCTGCCCTGGAGGTTAAAAAGCCAGTTGGGAGGCACTAGCTCAGCAAAGCGTTACCTGGGACCACAAGGGGGCAGTACTGCAGCGCTGAGCTGCCTCCAGCAGGAGGCTAGCGGGAAGCAGTCTGGCTCCTAACATTTATTCTAATGCTTTTAATGGTAGTTTTAAATTGCTTTTTCTAAAGTTTAAATGGTCCATATTATGTTATCCCTGAGTTAAATAATAAAAATAAGAAGCTTAAATAGTAATTTCTCTAGGAGTTCCAAACTCCTGAATTACAATATTCAAGACTGGAATTTAAGGAAGCTGCAAGTTTCACTATCACAGCTAGGGAAGAAATGCAGGCACAAACTATAAGCGGCCCAACTGCACATTAAGGGGCTGGTGAAATGAATTAAGGTACAGCTATAATATGGAATATTTTGTAAGGATTACAAAGGATGTAAGTAAATTATTATTAACACGAAAATACATTTATGCAAAATTCTGTGAAAAAGCCCAGCTACAGAAGTGTATGCCCAGTATGCATGTCAATTGTAAAATTGAAAAGAAAAAAAAAAAACATGCATTGGCAGAGGGTGGGCTGAAAGGACACTGCCCAAGACATTAACAATCATCTCTGCACAGACTACGGGTGGCCTTCCTTCCTTATTTTTGCAACTGCTTTATAATTCATTTTTAAAGTTATTTTTAAGTTGTCCTACCCATTCTTTTCTAATGCCACCGTCTTTCCCAACCTGTCCTGAGCCCTAGCTCAAGAAAGAACCAGTGTCTTCGTTAAAATCCCGGCACTTCCCAGTACCCTAGCTGGGGTTTCCACCTTGTCCCACCTTGTCCCACCTCGTCCTCTAGCCCCGTGTGCGTGTCGTCTCCCCTCCAGGCCTGTGGAGCTCGGCACGGGGTCCCGTGTCTCCTCGGGGTCCCGACCCACTGCCTGGAGCCCACCTGCCTGACCACCGCGTTACGGTAAAACGAACACAGGTCTGGCCGACGTTTCCCCGTCGGCTGAACCAAAACCGCAAGGTTCCACCCCTGACACAAGGTGACCGGCCAGGAATCAACGCCCTGAGGCCAGGCTACGGACCTCTCTCCCGCGGGGCAGCCGCGCCGCCGGCTGCCGAAGCACCTGTCACCGCTGGGGCGTCAGCAACTGGGCGGAGTGGACGCTTCCGGTACGCAACGCGGAGGCGCCGCCGCGAAGTTTGTCCCTTCGGAGACGCCGTGCAGGCCGCTCGTGTCACGTGATCGAGGAGCCTCCTGAAGGCGGAAGCGGCGCGCTGCGGGGCTTGGGTCGGGTGGACGGCCAGGCCAGCGGGATGGAGGCGACTTTGGAGCAGCACTTGGAAGACACGTGAGTGGCGCGGGCACTTGATCGGGACAAGGTGCGCGAGCTGCGAGGGCCGGCCGGGCGGCTTGGGGACGCCGCGCGATCCCCGGGCGCGGGTCAGGCGGTGAGCTGGCCCCGAGCCGCAGGCGGCCAGTGACCCGGAATCAAAATCCCGCCCGCGGGGCCCCGCACTCTCCCGAACGTTGCTCCGCGGCCCGAGCCCTGAACCGCCCGTCCTGCTGGCATTGTCTGGACAGGGGCCGCCCTCGCGAGTTTCAGGAACTGGGTTAATTTGGGGGAAGGACGTGCCACCGTGTAGACGAATCCTGCAGTGTAAACACACACATACACACACCCTCCTCCTTCCGTGTGTGACCAGTTACTTGGTGATTAAAATGAAACACATCCCTTCAGTTTTTCAACGAGGAATATCTGCGTAGAGTCCGAGGGAAGTGGACGGGGCAGCACCTCCGTCGTACGGATGCCCCTCAGCTCCCCAGCTGCCCCCCAGGAGGCACCCGCGTTACACGAAAGCACCGTTTTTAACGAGGGACACAGTCCTAGGTCCTGGAATGTCTGTGGCCCGCCTAAGCGCCTGGGCACGCTCTTTTCTGTCACCAGAGAGAAACTCATCTATTTAGGTTTTTCTTCTCTCGTGGTGGGAGGGGGTGATACAAGTTGAGAAACACTCATTTAAAGCACGTGATACAGTGCCTGCCTGGTGGTAGAATCCCTGTGTGTGTTGTAATGTTTTAAGTTCCTTTTCTCACATGTGTCCCTGGAAATAGAATGAAGAATCCATCCATTGTTGGAGTCCTGTGCACAGACTCACAAGGACTTAACCTGGGCTGTAAGTACCTCCCGCAGCCCTTTGGTGGTTGCACAGCATTTGAGGTTGACTGCGAGTCAGTGTGCATTACCCTGCCACTTTCCAGCCACTTCTGTAAACAGTTATCTCCCGATAACGAGAGTAGAAGATTGAACTTTTCACTTGGAGCTTGTGAAGGTAGAAACATTCCTGCTCTACAGTCATTTCTGCTGAAATAGTATTTGACCCATTTTAAAAAGTGGGTTGAGGAAAGCCTTCAGGTAACATTGAATGTGTGCCGTCTGCTTGGACTGCGAGGCTTCGTATACTGATCTTCTCGTTCTCACATTATTCCTGCAAGATGCTATTTTTTAGTCTGCACTTAACAGTGAGGCGGCAGTAAAAGTGAGGCGGCAGACTTGGACACACCTGGGTTCAACCGCCTGCTCTTCTGTTTGCTTGGACCAAAAAGAACCTTTCTGGGTTGTTTAATAATTATTATCAAATTACATTTATTGAGCTTTTACTGTGTGCCAGGCACCGTTCTAAGTATTCTACATATGCTAAGTCATTTAATCCTCAAAACATGAGGTAGATAAATTAAGTGGTTGCCCTGGCCCGTGTGGCTCAGTTGGTGGGAGCATTGCCCTGTGCACTCAAAGTTGGGGGTTTGATCCCCAGTTGGAGCGCTCATGGGAGGCAACCAATCAGTGTTTCTCTCTCACATCGATGTTTCTCTTCCTCTCCCTCCAAAATCAATAAAAGCATATCCTTGGGTGAGGATTAAAGAATTAAGTGGTCTAGCTGGGATTTGAGTCTGGCTCCAAAGTCTCAATCACAATACTATGAGATTAAAACACAACACATAACCCAGACATAATGCTCAATAAATAATAACAATTATAGATGAAGAAATAAGTAACTCAGGGGGTGAGGACACTTGCCAGCTCACTAATGGAAATTCAAGGAAATATAAAACTAAATTAGTTCCTTAAACAAGCCTTCAAGGCCCAAAAGACTGCACTGTCTGTGCAGTTAATGTTCTGTATAATAGTCAACCCAACAAATCTGCTACAGTAGCATGTCTGTTACCCAATTTAGCAGATAGGCTTGCATTGCCCTTATGTATGCAAATATATTGTAAATTAGTAATTACTTTTTGTGCCTGCCACCCAAGGTTGTTATTATCTACAGGCCAAAACAAAAGCCAATTCTGTTGGTATTGGAAAACAGCCAGCTTATTCTAACGGGGTGAATTGCTCACAGAATGTCCACATATGCTGTCAAGGTGGACTTACAGCTGAGCTCCCGAGAAAACTTTCATACCCTTTGAGGTGGAGCTCAGTAAAGGAAATCAATTTCCTATGAGGAATTCAAGTTTCAACAGGTCTCTTGTCTGTACTGCTGTTGTCGATCTCACCTCCGAACTTCTTGTTGATTTCAGCAAGATTCCTGTGAAATGGATTTATGACTTTCAGAGCGACTTGAAATTACAGCTTCCTTATATGTTTGAGATGGTGTTTAAAGATGGTGATGGGAATGACTTTGAAAATGGAGTGTCTGTTATGGCTTTATTGATTGAGGAACTGGTGTGTGGCTTTCTCACTGAGGCAACCAGCTGAGTACAGCAGAGTAAAATCATTTCATGTCAGTAACCTAAGAGCCCATGAACTGAACTCTCATGAATAATTCATGAGGTACCACTACAGCTCTAAGCTCATTTTTAAGAGTCGGGCAACATGCTATCATCTGTGTCTTCCAGGCCGTGGGACCCTGTCAGATGAGCACGCCGGGGTGATATCTGTTCTAGCCCAGCAAGCGGCTAAGCTAACCTCAGACCCCACTGATACTCCTGTGGTGTGTCTAGAGTCAGATAACGGGTGAGTCGAAGGCAGCAGGTCCCTTCCTTTCCTTTTTATTTAGGAAGGTTTTTAGAATGACTGGGGCCTGCCCTGTGTTCCTTGGTGGTTCTTCATTCAAAGGGCAAAGTAAAAATAGGAAGACCAATCAAAGAACAGAAACTGCTTCTGTAATATGGAAGTACTAAAGATCTTCCAAGTGAGTGTCCTCAGAATAATGGACACGAACAGGAGACAAACTACGCGATATCATCACAGCTCGTAAAGAGAAAATGTGTGACAGTACACCTGCAGATAAAGCCAGGAAAATAGTACAGTGGTTGTCTCTCAGTGCTAGGGAGATGTGTCATTTCATTTTTATAGTTAATACTTTTCTGTATTCCCCAAATGTTTTGCTGTGTTCATATATTGCTTATATAGACATAGAAAAAGTGATTTCATTGTGTCCTAAACCATTAACATCACACTGCCTCCCACGTGGAATGTTTTACTGAAGGTCTTCCGCTTTGCCTTCCAGGAACATTATGATCCAGAAACACGACGGCATCACAGTGGCCGTGCACAAGATGGCCTCCTGATGGCGCCCAGGTTCTCCCACAGCGCGTCTGCTCCTTGCTTTACACTGTTAGTTTCAGTGGTTAGGCCTGTCATCCAGTGAGCTTTGGGCACTTTTGTATTAATTTAGGCTAAGTTGCTTTTGGACACTCTATGGACTGACTTACCAAAATATTAGTAAGAAAGGATCTTGTTTTCCAGCAGCAGGTCTGGGTGACTTTGTATATAGAATTCTGTTGTGTTCAATAAATCTGGTTGGAGGAAAGCTTGGATCTTTTCTGAATTCTTTAAACTCTTATCAGTCTGAACACGCCTGACCTTGCCCTAACTCTTATCAATGTTCATTTTTTCAATTACCAAACTGAAAATTGTTTCAGAGGCCTTTGTTCCAAATTATTCTCTTCTCTTTCAGAAGCTTCCTCAAATACATATATCCTCACAGAAGTATCCATGGGTATTAAATCAAGCATATCCCTACCCCATAATAAAAATAATATGGCTCATATCATTAAGCACTTACTATATGCCAGGAACTCATTTAATTCCCATTCACTGGAAAGTAGGGATATTCGTGTCTAGTCTTCACCACATACTCAGTGGAGTGAGGGTAATAGTGACTTAGGAGATATCAAGCTGCAATTCTTGTTGAATAGCTTTCGGGCCAAGAGTCAGAAGGTTGGAGGTTAATGAACTTATTTATGTTTAGATTATAGAAGTTTTATTAAGTCAACTGGGTAGACACCAAAATGCTAATATCCCAATGGTGGCTAAGGAGTCTTTGTTCTTGATATTAGGCCCCAACTGATTAATAAGAACCATTTTTAGTGAACTAAGTATCAATAGTGGGTCTAATAATGTGCAGTCATATAAAGATTCCTCACAACAAACTTGTAAAATAACATTTTACAGAAACATTCAGAGAGGATAACTGGCCGAGAGTCTGCAGGCTTAAAAGATGGCAAAGTTGAGATTCTAACCAAGTGAGCATTTCCCACTGCACCCCAAAGCTCCCTCGATGAAAGCTGTGCCAGTTCATCTCTGAGGCCGCTGCAGCCCTCCCAGCCCGACGCCGCTGCCACACTGGAATCTGCCCCGGCCTCTGCCTCCATCAGAGCTCTCCGTCAACGTGAAGCCTGGCCTCGTCTCATCCTGCGACCAGAATCACAGATCGCCCTGCTAAAAGCGACACACTCCACCAAAACCAGTCCTACAGGTGTTTACTAGACAGTGCTTTCCGAGTATTTCGTAACGACAACACTGAATAGTACTCACCTTCTCTCTGGGGGTTTTACCTTCTGCTGGAGGTTCCTTCGGTCCTTAGCACCAGCATCACGTAACTATCACCCTATCGCTACTCATAAAGCGTTTCCCAAACCACTTGGCTGGGATTCTGCTAGCATGTTCCTCTCTAAGTATTAGTTTGGTTTTAAGAGCCTGAGAAGCCACTTACTTTTTAAAAAGGAACATGCATAAATATGTGCAGACTTTCTGGCTAAATCAACAAAAACGCAGGTTAGCCTAACATGCATTCTGGTTTGAAACCTGGGATGTGGGTGCTGGGGAGATGAAAGGCAATTTCCTGTTGACTGGTGTGTGTGTTTTGAGGTGGAGGGTGGAACAGAAAGGAAATGGGATAAGAAAGCTGAATCATCCCCGTAATTTTCTAGGAGACTCGGCCTTAACCATTTCCAAAATGCAAGAAGAAAAGTTTCGTTAAAATCCAAGTATACACCTTCTCTGGGAGGTGTTTGGTGGTAAGGCAATCAAGTATGAAAAACAGCAATTAAAATGGTGTCTGGAACCCTGTTACAGCCCAGACTTAGTCAATTCATGTGCTAGTAAGGTCACACACATGGGCTGAACTGAGCACTGCCATTTGAGCCCAGGAAATGGACCTCCCAACCCTGGAGAGGGTGTGTCTTCTGTAAAATAAGCAAGTCCTGAGGACCCTGGAAGGAAAGGCGGGGCATGGCTCTGAGTCCTGGGGCCTCATTCTTTCCCTTGAGTATAGTGTTAGACGGGAAGCTGAGGCACATTAAAATAGTAAGAATTGGAGCAAAAATCTATTTGAATCAGGCAGCACCAAACCTGAAGTAGGTAAGAGTGCTCCACCAACAGCAGCTTGGGGAGAGACTTGTAGAGAAAAGGCAAAAGCCAAGCAAGGAAATGACTGGCTGTCACGTAAGGCCTGCTTGGCTGTTGGTGACTGGTTGTCCTTGGGTTTTCATTTCTTCACCTTGAGGGGTTTACAGGCCTTGACTTGGGTTTGCTTATGTAGCCGCCGCAGCACCAGAGCCACCTCCGTACTGACCTCCTTGTTTAACTGATTCGACGGTAGTTACCGAGAGGATTTTCCACTTGGTTTACTCCGATGCTTGCTGTTGCGCCTACGGGAAACTCTAGCCAGGATGGGTGGTGTCAAATCTGCCTCCGCTCCTCACGAGGTAAAGTCCACTGGCCGGGAGCCCACATCGGCCCTGAGGTCCTCAGTCTTACATGCTCACTTGTTCTCACAGCACAACGTTATGAACTCCCTTGGAAAAACAGTAATAGTCTAGAAAACTAGTTTATTTCTCTCCCCGGAGTGTCTCATCTGTGAAGGATTCCTTTGCTGAACACCACGTCAAAGGTAAGACGAAAATAGGATTGTGCATTGGGGGTTGGTTTCCTATAATGTTTTGATGACCCACAGGCTTCTCCCCCAGCCCAGCTGCTCACCACACGGCCATTGTGCATGCCTGGCCGTGGGCTCTCCTTCCAGTAAGAGACAGTCTGCCTGCTGACCTGACAGGGGAAATGAAGCATGCTGGATCCCTTCCCCAGGACTCAGAGCTGTGCCCCCGTCTTTCCTTCCAGGGTCCTCAGGACTTGCTTATTTTACAGAAGACACACCCTCTCCAGGGTTGGGAGGTCCATTTCCTGGGCTCAAATAGCAATGCTCATTTGTGAGGAGGTAGCAATTACGACACTTGCACTCCTGGATGCTTTCCAGCATGTTCTCCTGCAGAACCACAAGACCACCATCACACCCGAGAGGCACAACTTTGCTCACAGTCCACATTCAAACTCCTCCAACTGACCTCCCAAAGCTCTTCGCTTTTCCTGGTCCAGGGTCCACTCAAGGAACAGTCATTGCATTTCGCTGTCATGTCCATTTGGCCCAGGGGTGGGGAACATCTGGTCCTACCAAGGCAGTAGGGGTGAGTTTGACAGCAGGCTAATTTTTAAGCTGATATTTTTGTGCCTGCAAATGATGTTAGAAATATCCAAATGGCTTACGGCAGTTTTACAAAGGTTCCCCAACCCTGATTAGCCCATTAGAATATTCTCATTTTAGCGAGGGCTTTGTAAATGGAATTCCTAACCCAAGGCAACCCACCCACCCCCCCTTTTTTTTTTAAATTTCTCTAAAGTCGAAAGCTCACCCAGGGGACCAGAGGGCGGTGCACAGCTTCCCCTGGGATCTGGTGTGCAGACCTGGGGGGAGGACACCGAGGACAGTGCTCAGAGCCGCCACCCACAATCAGTAAGGTCGAGCTTCGTATTAACTCCTTTGAAATTCCTGCCTGAAATAAACTGAGTGGTCAACTTAGTGCCAAACTGGTGACAAGAGATTTCTCTTCAGTGGCTTCGAAATCCCTCAAATCACAGCCTATCATTAGCTTCTCTTCCTTCTCCCATGATTCTGCCTGGATCGTGATTATAGAAAAAACAGGGACCAGGCAGCCTTTACACGTGACTAGGACATGCTTCAGGAGATGTCAAGCCCTGTGAGCGGCCAGCGGAAGCCAGGAAGCAGCCTGCAGGACAGTCCCAAAGATGTACAAAGTCCTGCTTGCGTTTTGGAGGTTAAAATTAGTCTATAAACAACTTTAGAAACAAGAGGAAATCATCTATTTTTAGAGTTGGGCTAAAAAAAAAAATTACAGTACAAGTGGTTTTATACCGCAGTGAAAAGTGAAGTGTAAAAGTTTACGTCTGTTTCCTGTCAACTCAATCAACTCGGTCTTGGGTTTGTCCCAGGGACCTGCGCCATGCTGAGGGCAAGGAAGGCCCCACCCTACACCCAGGCCCTGGATGGAGGTTGGGGATGGATGATTGTGCTTCACTTCTTCCTGGTAAGGATTTCCTTTCCCTCCTCCCGCCTGCAAGGCGGCCTCTGGAGGCCGAGGTCCCTTATGAAAGCCTTGGCATTTGAATGGAAAGGGGGCAGAGCCAGGCCAGAAACTGCCAGTGGTTGCTCAAGTCAGCCGTCCACAATGGGCCCAGGTTGAAACCGTTCACCTGAGCAAAAGCAAAAGCATTCCCATCTGGTCTCGTCCCCCTCCTCCCTCCCATCCCTGCACCACAGAACGCTCGTCACCATCAACAGTTCTGCCCTGGCTACACGAGGTAGTTCTGGGGACAAGCACACATTGAGCCACCCCGGAAGTAGCACTGGCAGGGGCTAAAGCGTTTTTGCGTGGGGTCCGCACTCAGCCCAGCGTAGACTAACTGCTGGCAGCGACCTCCTTCACTCACAGGGGATGGGGACATTTCCTCCGTCCTGCCTGCTGCTGCCTTCCAACCCTTCCCCACCAGCCACAGGTGAGCTAGAATCGGCCCCTGTGTATTTCTGATGTCTGGAGAAGGAAGGACACAAAATTCTGAACCGGGAGCCTGTTTTTTCTCCTTCATCCGTAAGCCAACTGGACTCGGCACTTGTTTCTTAATGATCTTCTCTCTCCCTCTTCCTGATCTGAATGTCAGCATGGTCATTCTAGAATATCGGTGAATCCTATCACAGCTAAGCCCCAAACAACCCTACAGATGGGCACTAGCTCGACAGCTCCTCGTGTCCCCAAATCAGTTTACTCACAGACACCCCTTCCCTCCCAACTCTCCCTCCTCCCTCAGGCCTACAGCTCAGGCCTCCTCCCTGGTGACAGAGAAGGGAAAGCAGGAGCAGAGGTCTCAGCCAGGACTTGTGTAATACAGTCCCTAACCAGACGGCCATTTGTGACACATCAGCCTCATTACCAAAGAACGTGGAATCTCAATGTTACTAGAAACTATGCTAAGGTCTGAGAGCCCTTCCCATGGCTGGGCCACCTCCCCATATACAGGCTTGGCAGGATGGCACTGTTGGTGAGGGTCTGTCTGGTTCTCCCCCATTTCTCCCCAATAACCACCCTGCTTAGCCTACATTACCCTCAGGATAGGAAGCTATTTATCCAATGTAGTTGCTGATAAGAAAAATTGCCTCATAACCAGATTAATAAACAATGTCCTGCTTTGGGGGGCAGGGGCGGGTGGGTGTGATGCTGCTTATAAAAGCACTAGAGGCTGGGCGCACGAATTTCGTGCACAGGTACAGTCCCTAGGCCTGGCCTGAGGTCAGGGCCATCTTCCCCGGCTGCCCACAGCCGGCCCCACCCCCACCCAGGTTCCCAGTTCGCCATTGAGCAATTGGAGCCTGTCGGCTGGGGAAAGGGACCAAGAGGTGGTCAGTGCGCCTCTTAGTGACTGGTCGAGTGGTCATTCTGGTTGTTCTGCCATTAGGGTCAATTTGCATATTACCCTTTCATTATATAGGATAAGATATACTAGGTCCCAAAATGTTAACAAGGAACATTAACAAGCTAATCACCTGCAGTCGGAGGCCAGTTAGACGCCTGCTTCGGTGACTACATGCATCACCAGTACTTTTCTACAACAGATGAGCTCCTGAGGAGGTGAGGGAAAAAGCCACCCACGACATGTTCCCTGGGAGCTCCTGACTTTAAAAGGACTCATTCTAAGCTGCCACACTTCACATATTGGCATGACTGCCAATATTCAGTCTGCCTCACTGGGCTGGATGTTTCATGAGGACAGGGACCATGTTTGCTCACTACTGTAAGCCCAGACCCTATAAACAGCCTGGAACATAGTAGGCACATAATAAATACCTGTTGGTGAGTAGATGGACTGACTGATGGGCACACTTCTGACTAAACAAGAAGGTGGTAAATGCTGAAATTGTAGAGATGGGCAGGGGACTTGTATGACACGTTAAGAATCTTGGTTTTTATCTTGAGGCTCTGAGAGCTAGTTAAAAAAAAAGAAAAGAAAAGAAAAAGCATAACCAATGGACACAAGACACTGGGGGGTATGGGAGGCCAGGGGAAGGTCAAGGGGAGGAAAAAAAAAGGAGACATATATAATACTCTTTGTAATACTTTAAGCAATAAAACAAAATTTAAAAAAAGAAAAGAAAGAAATGAAGCAGGAGTGATGGGATCAGATCTGCAGGCCAGGAAAATAGCTCGGGCTGCAGGGTGGATAGGGATTGCTGGGGCGAGGCCTGGAGGCAGGGGCATCCATTGGAGGGATGTTGCAATGATCCAGGTGAAAACACAGTAAGGCCCTAAGTTCTGGAGCAGCGATGGGGATGGAGAGAATACAGATCTGAGCTACACTGAGGAGGTAGACCTGTAAGACTTGCAGAGTAACTGCAGCTCCGGGAGAGTCGGAATCCTGGGTTGTCTTGGGCAACTTGGAGGCTGATAGATGCCATTCAGTGAGCTGGGGAACGAGGGAAGGGAGGGAATCTGCAGATGGCGTGGGTGGATTGACTTTGGACAGTCTGAGGGGCGTGCGGCAGTCCATGTGCATGTGGAGCACGGGGTCTGCACCCTGAAATTTGTGAGTCACCAGCATCGGTGGTGGCTGGAACAATGAGACGGGTGGGTCCAAATGCCAGGGAGAGGGCGGAGCAACCAAGAGCAATTAGTCCTGGGGGAATCGAGACCTAGGGACGTGGTGGAGTTGCCCACAGAGGAAACCGAGAAGCAGTCAGAAGTCAGGGGTCCAGGCATGCAGCACCCCCTAAGGGAAGGCAGAAATGTCCAGAGGAGCAGAAGCTGCTGAGAAGTCAGATGACAAAGGGCTGTTAGTGTAGCCACAGGGAAGTCTCTGATAACCTCGATAAGAGCCAGCACAGGGGGTGCCGAGACAGAGGAAGTGCAGATAACCTAACAGACTATTCTTTGTCTGTGAAGGTCAGGAAGAGCAAGGGGATGCTAGAGGGGAATCTAGGGTGGAGGAAACTTGCTATTAAACAATAATTTCTAACAAAACCTGATGCTCTTTATTCAAAAGGGGCCCCTGTGGCTGACCCAGCCCCAAGACAATATTCTAATTAAAATGATCTGGATGAGGAAGTTCTTGGGGGGGAGGGGGGCGTGCCCTTAAAGATAAAAAGGAAATAACGGTGCTGGATCAGCCACAGGAAAATTTCAAAGGCTTTTGTTTTGGGGTGAGCCCATTGACGTCTGACCGGACTCGGACAGGACTAAAACCCAGCGACCTTGGTCCAAAGCATGGGATGAAATCCAAATTTGTCTAATCCGCTTAACAAAGCAGAGATCTAGGCTTGGGGAAAAGACTTTTAATATCTGAGTCCAAAGAAAAAGAGGCGTGCTCTCCCTCCAGGGAGCACACCCTTACCATTCCCTTCCTCTTCTTCCCCCACAGGCATTCACCTCCTAAACTCTAAAGGACCCCATGGGACTTGCCCAGTGAACAATGGGCAGCGGCAGCTCATCCTGGACAAACCCTCTGAACTTGTCCACAAGGCCCCCTTTTCTCTGACTCCATAGTGAGCCAAAGCAGCCCAGCTAGGCCATTTCCCCGCCTAACCTCTCCTCTGTTTCTTCTTCTATCCTAGGCCTGTCCTTGTTTCACTGTTCCCAGCTTTAATAAACGTTCTCTCGGTGAGGGGGGTAGGGGTTGGGGGAGAGAACAGAAACAAAGTTGGAAGGTTACAAGATAAGGGAGGCAGGGTAGACGCAAAGGCTGACCTTGGCTTTGTTGATATCCACAGGGGAAGACGCAGACTCAGTGATTAGATACAAGTCATAGCCACTTGCTTTGCCCAGACATCAAAGACGGACCAGAGCGGCCAGCTTCTGAACTGGGAGACCAGTAGCTAGCCAAATTCAGGATGCAGAGGCCAGCACCCTTTAGATGCCAGCACAGAACCCGTGGTTAAAGAGGAAGGATGTTTTCCAGAATGATGCCTCACTGTGCCCTTGCTCATGATGGCGCAATCACCACTCTGTATACTGAACCAACAGAAACAAGTCTGGGTCGTTCGAGGTTCTTGCATGTTCTGTAGCCCCACTTCCTGATAGAAATACCTCTGGGCACATGCTGATGACAAACTGTCCTAATGAGGGCATGATAAAATAGTTTTCACTTTTAAATATAGAGCCCTGGCGTCCATAGCATTGTTCACTGTAAATAATGAAAAAGCAGTAGCTTCTATCAAGTTAAAATGGGAAAAATCTATTAAGGGACCTCCTTACCACCCCCAACTTTTGCAACCTCGGAGCACCACCTCTGGTTCTTAGTCCCTTTCTCCAGACAGGAGAGAATACTATTTCTGAAATACGAGTCTAGCTGGGGATGGAGGGGAAGGTCTTGATTCTCTAGCAGGTAGGGGTTAAGGGAACGAAGAGGCAGGCTGACTCGGCTGAGTGGGTAGACGGTAGCAATAAAAGGGAAATGAGAAGGAAAAGTGGGCATGGGACAAGAGAAAGACTTTCGTTTTGGATGAGTTGACATGAGTTAGATATGATAGACAGTTATATGAATGAGTTTGAAACGCTTGAAAAATATTAATGGTTAAAGATAATAAAATCATAGTTAATAATTTGAATATTAAGTGCTACTTAATGGTCCCTGAATTGATGGCTTGACTTAATGATTGTTCAACTTTTCGATGGTACAAAAGTGGTAAATTCCATGAGATATTTAATGCTTTATTGTAAAATCGTCTGTTTGATGATTCTGCCCAACTGTAGGCTATCGTAAGTGTTCTGAGCATCTCTGACGTAGGCTATGCAATAATGTTCAGTAGGTTAGGTGTATGAAATGCATTTTCAGCCAAGAATATTTTCAACTCATGATGGGTTTATCGGGGTGCAACCCCAGCATAAGTTGAGAAACATCTGTATTAAGTACTTTACCAGAACCTTCTCAATCTTCACAGTCCTGTGAGCTAGCTAACATTGACTTCATCTCCACTATACAAAAGAGGAATCTTAACTTCTGTAAAATATAAAATGTACGAAGCTTAACTCCCCCCCCCCCAGCTGGATTCTTATTTCAGAAATAGTTTGCCCAAGGTCACACCCCCAGTAGGAAGCTGAGCCAGGACTCAGGCCAAGGAGGCTGACTGTGCAGACCAGTACTTAACTACTACACCAGCGGTTCTCAACCTGTGGATCGCGAACAATGAAAATACATCCTGCATATCAGATATTTACATTACGATTCATAACAGTAGCAAAATTACAGTTATGAAGTAGCAACGAAAAGAATTTTATGGTTGGGGGTCACCACAACATGAGGAACTGTATTAAAGGGTCGCGGCATTAGGAAGGTTGAGAACCACTGGTCTAGGGGCATATATACTAGCACTCCACACAAAGAAACCTGACCTCCAAGGAGAGCGCCTCCTAGCGGGCATGTGACCCAACCAGGTGACCTGGTTTACTCTTGTCCTGGCACAATTAACAGTGCTCCCTTTTGCTCTCAAAAGTGTCTCAATTTGGATAAATTACTATATGGTCACCCTACTTATATATATCAGGTGATAAATGGTACTCAGCTCAAGAGCAGAGTTAAAGCAAAGCTAACCCAGGAACTGATAGGAACAATTCATCTTTTGGACCAACACGCATCTCTCACAAAGGTAACTGGACTCGGCTGTGCTTAACAGATGCTAATGTCATAGAACAGTAGAGTAGGGGTTGATGTGGGTTCAAATCTCAACCCCAGTACCCCCCCCTCTTCAGCAATTTCCTTTAACCTCAATTTCCTGGTCACTAGTACAACAGTGACACTCCTACTCCACAGCCTTGTGATGATTCAAGGGGATACTCATGTAAAGTGCCTAGAGAAGCCCTTAGGGGATGACCACCCCATAAAATATAAAATGTATGAACGGTAAGTGCTGGCGAGCTGGGGAATCGGAACCCCGAGCAGCTGTAACCCCTCTGTTGCACCCTGACTTGGACTCTGTCTGCTTTCATTTAGGTCAACATGTTTGTTTTGGGGATGAACAAGACTTTTGCAATTTTCTTTGTGGTTTTTCAAGAAGAATTTGAAGGCACCTCAGAGCAAACTAGTTGGATTGGCTCCATCATGTCATCACTCAGCTTTTCTGCAGGTATGAAGCCCAGGGATAAGGTCGCTGTCCAAGGAGAAGGCCCAGAGGGCGATTCTAGGAACAAGCATGAGGCGCGCTACACTCAGGGTCGTTATTAATACAGACAGCCAAGAAAAGGACAAACCTGCAGTGTTTAGCCTCCACCTGACTTGGTGAAATTGGAAAAATTACAGAGTTCAAACAAAGAAAGTGGGAGTCAGAGTCCAACTACTTAACTGCATGATTTCTCATGCCGTGTTTCTTTCCACAGTGCCTTTCCCTAGGTTCAGTGAGCCACCCTGTCAGCAGGGAAGTCAGACCTCGGAGTTCTGACCTGATCACCTAACCTTTCGCAAAACAAGTTGGGAACCAATTCCTTTTCCTGCAGTTCTGTTTGGAGCCTAGCGTGGTGCAGAGGTTAAGGAGCAAACTTGTCCTAGTCATAGGCCACCAGACGCACTCTCACTGTGTGGAGGTTTTGCAATGCATTCTCAGTAAGCTTCACCTCCAAACCTGCTTATTTATATTTTTTTCCTTAAAAAACAAAGCGAACAGTGTGGGACTGGGACTGGTAAAGCCCAACACAGATACCTCTGTGAAGGACACACAAGACTCCGAAGTGTTTTCCTAAAGCTGCTCATTTCAACCGACGCCAGGATAAGGGACGCCAAGCACTCACCTAGTACCAGCTTTTCTTTCTCCCCAAGGCCCCCTGGTTGCCATTATCTGTGACGTATATGGCGAGAAGACTGCCTCCCTGCTTGGGGCCTTCCTCGTTTCCGGTGGATATGTGATCAGCAGCTGGGCCACGAGCATCCCCTTTCTGTGTGTGACTATGGGAGTTTTACCTGGTGAGTCCACGGTAAAAAGGTTAGAAAAAAGGGAACTAGGAACCTCCCTCTTACTGGCCACGTGTCCAAAAGGCCTAGTTTCATTATCTCGGTCCAGAATATCCATCTGGTACAAGGCACCTCATGTAAGTGATTCCAAACTATTATGGTTTTCTTTTTAGGTTTGGGTTCCGCTTTCCTGTACCAAGGAGCAATAGTGGTAATGAGCAAATACTTCAAAAAACGATTAGGGCTTTCTACAGCTATTGCCCGTTCAGGGATGGGACTGACATTTCTCTTGGCACCTTTTGCAAAAGTCCTGATAGATCTATATGACTGGACAGGTGAGTCATTCTAAGTGTCTGACCTATCAACTCTGCAAGATTTCAAGTTCAGTTTTTCCCCTTGATGACTGGAGGTGAAGATGTTTGGAGCCAGAGTAGAAATGATTCCTAAAGAATCATGCTCCTCCTCCTTGGGGAATACACAGCAGCGAGATCTTGAACTACTTGCAGGCTCTGCCAGCCACACCAGCAGCTCCGAGTTCAGCCCAGGGTCCTGTCTGGGGCACAGAGCTCCTCTGTGAGCTGTGAAACACCCTGCAGGGACAGCGATATCCCTGGAGAGACAAGGGCACCCTCTCCTTCCACCACCAAAGAATTCTTTCCAAATTCTCCCTTTAAGAAAAAATCTGCATAAAACATGCCTCCTCCATTGGACTCACTAAACCAGAACCAAAAAAAAAAAAAAGGGGGGGGGGGTAAAAAGATTATGTTCCTTAATACGTAATCTTTTACACAAATGAATGAAAATCATTCACTTCACAATTTTCTTTGTGCCTTACAGAAAATATCTGTATTAAATCATCTTACATTACTGGAAACATGATATGCACATATGTATGTATATGTCTACTTCTAGAGAAACAGACATAAATACACAGAGCAGTTGTGCAGGAGTCTCATGAACAGGCCCAGCTGACAAACCTGTGACAGGAAGGCGGGACCTGCGGCCAGCCCTGTCTCTAGGAGCAACACACACACCTCAGCTTCAGTCAGGCCACGCGGAAATCAAGACATACCTACTCGGCTTCAGAGGCGAAACTGGCACCTGCCTTCTTTCAACATTTATACCCACTTCAGAGCATTTCAAGTCCCTCTTCAAAACACCATGTAATTTTCTAACACTTGAAATAGCTCCCCCGGCTTCTCCAAGAAAACTCTTATTCTCTTTTCCTTTAGCACAAATAACTCTCCTTCCATGCCAGCTTTCTGGTGTCCTACCTGCAAAAGGCCACCGTTTCACAAGGATACAGCAGTGTGTATGGTAACAAGTCATCAGATTTCATTACTTCCAGTTAAAATCGGGAGACAAAGCAGTACCTCAAGGAAGTATCGCGCTATGACTATTTAGCAACACTATGAATATTCTGAGCCTGAGAACAGGGCATTATGAAATGAGAGGGGTCATTTTTAACAACTTTGAGATTTCTCTCTATTTAGGTGCCCTTATGTTATTTGGAGCTATCATACTGAACTTGGTGCCTTCGAGTATGCTCTTGAGAGCCATCCACAGCACAAGCGGGAGCAACTCTGATGGGAAAGATAAAGGTAGCAGCCTGCCTGCAAGTGGTCCAGAGGCAGGGCGCGGGGCGGACATGTCACACTGCAGCGAGACGCCAGAGTTCCCCATCAGGGACAGGACTATGCAGGTTGGACAAGCCGGAACAGGTTTCATAGACTCGCAACACCAAAACGAAGAGGTCAACGATGGGCCAAGCAGGAACAGACTGTTCCTAATACCTAAAGATGCACATTTCCAGCAAAAGGCTACTTTGTGGAGCTGTAAACAAAACCTCTGTGATATTTCTCTTTTAAAGAACCCTTTCTTCTGCATATTTACCTGGTCTCTTCTCTTCAGTCAGCTGGCATATTTGATCCCTACCCTCCACCTGGTAGCCAGAGCCAAAACACTGGGGATCGACATGATGGACGCCTCCTACCTCGTTTCTGTAGCTGGTGAGAAAGCCTACTGCAACCTCACACTCAAACAAGCAAACAGAAAGTCTTGTTAGTTTTTCATAGGTGTCTGACACAGTAGACATTAGGTATTTGTTGGAAAATACAGTATTTTTAAAAGCTGGTGCTTAGTGGCAACCATCACTCGAGGAGCAAAAGAAATTCCAGGTAGATAGCATAGTGCACTGGTTGAAAGGTTTCATTCTGGAGCTAGACTTTCCAGGGTCAAGTTTTTGCTCTGTATTTCCGAGCTGTATGACCTTGGGCAGGTTATGTGCTTTCTCTGTGCCTCAATGTCCTCATCTGTAATAGAGGGATAATAGTACCTACCTACCCTGATAAGGTTATGAGGATTAAACAAGTCATGTATGAGAGGTTTAGGATTGTGCTTGGCCCATTGTAAGCATGCAATCATGTTCTACTAATATTTGCAGCTAAGCATTTTCCACTTGAACTCATAGTAAGACATATATATGCCTGTTGCGGCTAGTCACTAATGGACTGACTGATAGTTCTTTTTTTTTTTTTATTTTTTAAATATATTTTATTGATATTTTACAGAGAGGAAGGGAGAGGAATAGAGAGTTAGAAACATCGATGAGAGAGAAACATCGATCAGCTGCCTCCTGCACACCCCCTACTGGGGATGTGCCCACAACCAAGGTACATGCCCTTGACTGGAATCGAACCTGGGACCCTTAAGTCCGCAGGCCAACGCTCTATCCACTGAGCCAAACCGGTTAGGGCTGACTGATAGTTTTTAAAAACTGAGAAGGGACGAAATGGAACTGGTTATCTCCAGTTATCTGGAAAGTCTCAGTAGCTCACAGTGACTTTCCTCTGCAAGACTATTCACCAAGCCTTACAAAACTGACTGCACTCCGCCTCCAACTGCACAGGTACTCTCAATCAAATAAAATGTATGTACACACACACAAAAGATACATAGCTCAACAGACGTTCTCACTAAAGTGTCTAGTAGTATCAATGTAGATGAGATTAGGGCTATATAATGGAACAAAAGAACATAACAAACTCAGTATGTGTCCTAGGAAATAACTGTAAAAATACAGAAATAGTAGTATTCTGTATTTTTATTTCTTTTTAATGTGTGTGTGTGGAGCAATTTATGTTTGAACTGTAGGAAGGATTTGAAGCATAAAACCACCACAGCTCATGCTACTGTTGGGGAAAATCTCTTGGTATTTAACCACTACATTAGCTTCTAACAGGATAAAGGTTAAGAATTTCTGTTATGAAATTAAGCCAAATTGTGGTTCTTACATTTTGTTCAAGTTACATCACAGGTCATGTTCAAAATATGATCTCCCATTTCCAGACTTCCTACATATTTTCCAAGTTAAGCATAACAACCTCTGGAGAAGGACTTAATTTTCAAATCCTCACATGCAATTATAAAAGAGTCCCAACACCTCCTTTTTCTTTTTGTAAACATAAGGCTTTATTATTTATACTCATCATCCACCCTCTGACTCTCCTTGACACAAACCGGAGGCCCACTAGTCTTTACAAACTCACACTTCCTTTTTGAGGAAGGCTCCCTGAGCCCGGGGTCCTCTGTAACCAGGGACTCCCAGCTCAGTGGTATGAACTTTCTGGTAATTTACTAGATGTGTCTGGAGTACTTACTAGTAAGTAAATGATATAATCTACTGATAAGCAAATGAAACCGTTTTTTTTTCTCATGTGTCCTAGCCTAAGGATGAAGTCTTATTACTTAGGAAAAGATGCCTTAGGCATTTACATTCTTCAAAGGGGCTGGGAAAAATGGAATTAGGATTTCATAAGACCTTTCAAACTTCTTCTAGGTATCACTGAGGCAGTCAGTCAGCTTCTCTCTGGATGGATTGCTGATCAAAACTGGACCAGCAAGTACCATTACCACAAGTCTTACCTCGCACTCTGTGGCATTACTAACCTGCTTGCTCCGTTAGCCACCACCTTCCCACTACTGATGACCTATACCGTCGTCTTCGCCATTTTCTCTGGTGGTTACCTGGCATTGATACTTCCTGTTCTGGTGAGTAGACACACTCATTAACATTGTTAAACCATTTAGTAAAAGCAAGGATGAATAATAATGTTGCCCAAAGAGAACACATATTTTGTATTAATTTTATGATTACAAAACATCACAGCCAAGGCCTCAGAAACCCTGTAGCTATATCCTAATCCAGTTACTCATCTTACCTCGGGGGTTGGAATGATGGGAGGACTGTCCACAGGGAACAGGAAAGAAATGGGAACCAATAAGGGACCAGCAGGATTCCATTTTGCTGATCAGTTTCCCAGGTCAGGCTTCTGTTCACTTCTTCCCTTCAGTTCCAGAAACTTCTTTGGCTCCCTCTAAGACACAACCCTGAAGAGCTCTGAGAGAAAAGGGCCTTCCTGACCAGTGTGACTTCTCTCTTACTGAGAAGCTCTGTATTTCAACAGGGGCACTTAATAAAACTCTTCTCCATTTTTACCCACGATCGACTTCAAGTCCTGGACCCAAGTGGAACTGACATACAAACTTCTGGGTTCTCCTTAGCACCAAGTCCCCATGTGCCGGAACACAATCCCTGGGCGAGTTCTGGCCTCAAGGCCATGTTAGCCTAAGTGCAGCAAGAAATACACGAGGCTTACGCAAAAGCCAAACTTTCTAAAGCTGAGTCAACTCCTCATAATGTCTGATTGCTTACAAACCAATGCTCAGCCTCGGGTGGATTCAAGAATCCCACTGTCAGCTAGATTGTAAATATTATTTCCTAACAGAGAAGAGCAGCGAGGTTCAGGGAAAAACGTACCCCCGAACCACCAAAAAGACCTAAGAAACAAAAACCAATGTTCCTTACTCATAAAGGGGAAACACTGCCTGCCTCGCGAAACTTCTGGTCCCTATTTGCCTCAGCTCTTTCACAATTCGGAGCACAAGGCCACCCAAATCACCCCAGCAGTCAACGGTTCAGTTTGAGATGACAAACAGCATTTGTCCCTGCTAGGCACAGGTCTCCACAGAAGCTCACCATCTATCTGGCTAACAGTGAATTCTAATCCCTACAGGTTGACCTGTCTGGGAATTCTGCAGTACACAGGTTTATGGGACTTTCCAGTTTCTTCACTGGGATAGCTGTCCTTTCTGGACCACCGATAGCAGGTAACAGTTTAGCCATGTTCTGAGCAAATGAAAGAAAATGCCGACCCGTGATTAACAGGAACATGTAATGACAACATCAGGTTAAAAGAAACTGCTGATATCTGTGCTGTGCCTGTACCAACCCTCACAAGCCATCGCCAGTCCAGGAGAACCTGAGGGTTAATTCAACAGGTGTGCATTAAGTTCTTACAGCCTCTTGGGCGTCTTAGAGCAGAGATTGTATGTATGTCTACTTGTCTGGGAAGACAATACAGTTTTATCGAGTTTTCAAAGACCTAGGATGCTTAAAAGAAAAAGAACCACTACCATTTTTACCTGAACAGGAGTCACTTTTATAGAGCTTGAATCTGCAAGCCTGACCCTTTTGCTCTTCTCAACATCTCTTACTTTTTTTTTTAATATATTTTATTGATTTTTTACAGAGAAGAAGGGAGAGGGATAGAGAGTTAGAAACATCGATGAGGGAGAAACATCGATCAGCTGCCTCCTGTACGCCCCCCACTGGGGATGTGCCCGCAACCAAGGTACATGCCCTTGACCAGAATCGAACCTAGGACCCTTCAGTCCGCAGGCTGACGCTCCATCCACTGAGCCAAACCGGTTTGGCAACATCTCTTATTTTTTTAAAATATATTTCAGAGAGGAAGGGAGAGGGAGATAGAAACATCAATGATGAGAATCACTGATTGGCTGCCTACTGCACATGCCCTGGGCATGTGCCCTTGACCAGAATCAAACCCAAGACCCTTCAGTCTCCAGGCCAACGCTCTATCCACTGAGCCAAACTAGCTAGGGCTCAACATCTCTTGATGGTCAAAGGGGGATGGAGGCCCTTCACTTTGTGTCTGTACCAAAGGTGGGAGGATACTGGGCCTAAAGGCCAGAATCTCTGTGGAGAGGCTGTGTGGGACCGCTGGTGAACATTAAATACAAGTAGAGTACAATTTGGGGGAGTTCTGATCATGTAAGTTAGCTTTAAGACGGAAGTGTGTTGTTGTTGTTTTACTCACTTTCTACCTAACTGGACATTTAATCCAAGACTATTAAAAGACTAACTACTTACAGGGAACAGACTTCAGTATTTTCCAAACTATAGTTCTCAATATATTGGAATGGAGAAATTACTACAGCATTTCCAAACACCCACAAAAAGGGATTCAACTTAAAACTTACATTTGCCTCCTTCAGTCCTAAAGTGAGGCAGAAAAAGGGTCTGAGCTTGCCCACTATCATTCTTAAAATTGGTACAAATATACAACCAAATCCTTATTTGCACGTATGAACACACATCTTCCCGTATTGTCCAACTCAGTCTATACTTCATACCTGGAGAGCAGGCTGGGATGTAAGAGTCAAGCCAGAATTGTTCTATAGGGACTAGTAAGAGAAAACCAAACACCAGAGACATCTGGCAGAACTACTGTATGGCCAGCGCCCAGGTCAGTGAGGTACAGAAAAGAGAGCCCAAGTACAGTTTGCTCATTGCATTTCTTTCCGTCTTGACCCCTCTTCACTGGGTCCAATGATGCCTGGAACTCGTAGCCTGTCAGGCCAAAGACATAGGGCGGTAACCAGTTCCAGGGCACAGCGCATCTCATGCAACTGAGAAAGGCAAGGAACTGAACTACAATATGTTTAGAGATTTTACATTCCAGTTTTTGTACACATCTTAAAATATTCAAAGAGGTCCGTGTATGAGAGACGAGGCATGTTTTGTGAGGACCGCTACCTGAAAAGGAAAAGCTGCAGATGTGTGTGTGTCTTGAAATCAATTTCTTGGGTCGTGATCTTTTCATTTATCTTTGAATGAAAAAGGATAGACTACAACAGAGCAGATTAGAAAACAGTGCATCCCTTTATTGTGAAACTTTTATTTTACACACACATACCTATGTATTTCAAGTATATGTGATGTAAAGTACATTTCTTACTATCAGTGAATAATAAAAAAAAAATTTACGAGTCTTTTATTACCCAAAGTCCACAATGCCCCAGCAGAAAGGAAACTCATGATATAATTTCTACCTGCTAATTCTGAGCATGTTATTTGGGCAACTATAAATTTTTTAAGTTCTGGGGAGGAAAAAATGTCGAAGAAAGTGTTAAGGCTGCTGCTGAAAGCCTATGTATAGATTTTTTGGTCTGACTCTCACTGACCGCAATGCAGCACTGCCCACTCAGTGGGAGGGAGAAACTTCAGCAAGTCTTTGTCTCTTTAACACATTCCTCTGTGAGATGACAGAGGACTTGACAAAGGCCATTAGGTTTGTTCCTAAATTCTGACACCAACAGCAACTACCAAGAAACATCAGAAATGCTGCCTTGGCAGTTCCATTATTGTCTTCAGCTTTAAATAAATCAACAGGCCTTCAGCTTTAAATAAATCAACAGGCTTTCTGGTTACAAAATATTAAATTCTCAACCAAGCTTAGATCTTCAAATTGTATGAGATTCTCATTCTTTTTACTTACCTGTTAGATCTGTTATTACCAAATCGCAAAAGTTGAAATTCCTATAAAAGAATCTAGCAAACAGTAAAACTTTCCACAGTAATCCTCAGTCAAACGCTAGTTAATAATGGTTACATCAGTTATCTGAACAATATTTTTCTCTTTCCTGTGTGGAAATGAAAAAGAAAAGCAAGTTAGTCATATACAGCATATTTTCATAAAACATAGAAAACCCATAAGAATCATACCTGAGTTTGTTATGTAATCAAACTTACATAACAAAAACACACTTTTTTCTTTTAAAAATGTAAATAGAGCATTTGGCAAAAAAAAAAATTATTTATACACCTTTAAAACCATGATTATGATAATATAGTAGCAACAAAATTCTTTATCAAATCTTTGCTGAAACTCACTGATAGGGATTGAAAAGGATAGAAGTTTAAAATTACTCCCTAACAACACACCTCCTCTAAAAGCCACCCCACTGCCCACTGCACCCATACAGCCCGCCCCTCCTGTTCCTTTACAATACTCAGTGACAAATTCATAGTTAATAATGTGACCTAGGGCGATCAGCAGAACTACACACAGGCCAAATGTCATCAGTTATCCCAAACCAACTGCTGTTTTTGCTGGATGCTGGCCTCCAGATCTACATGCTGGCACCAAGATGGAAGCTTGGGAAGTTGTGGGGAAATGAAAAGCACTGCTATTTTAAAACATTATATTTCTAGTAGACCCTGTTAACAAAAGTAGAGCTTCAGACAGCAATATAAATACAAAAATAGTGCCTTGGGCAAAAAAAAGCAAGTATATAGTCATATTCTCCAACATACTAGTCAAATGTAAGCTGCTTATGTGAAATTCCTAATCTTCTATCCAAAGGCATTTGATGTGTGAGCTCAAAATGTTAAAGGCTGTTTCATGTAAAAATAAAACCAAGGGCCCATATTGGCTGACTATAAAACAGAACTGAATATAGTTTCCCTCTCTTCTATATACCCCCCATTCCCAACTGATGAGTGTACATACTATGCTAATATATATTTATATCAATACCAATTATCTTCTGAAAACTCCTTTAAAATACCAGAAACAATTATTTGATAGCTCAGTATTCATTCAGTAATTACCAAGCCCCTTATTAGCACAGCTCTCTGCTAGCTGTTCCATGGGATACAGAGAAGACAATCTTTTCTTAATGCTCCTCCATTGCTCACTGAGTAATGGCACATACACGGACAGGACTCAATACTAAAACCAGCAACCTGGAACCTCAAACACTGAGAATTAATAGAACGTGCATTCTTCTTCCACTTCATTAACAGAAAATTTAGGTAAGCCATGTCTCCATTTTCTTACCTTTAAATGAAGACTTTCTGAGCTGTGGTATAAAAAGAATGGCCGTAAATTATACTAAAGCTTCACTCAATCCAGAGGGTACTTCACAAAAGTGTTTGTTGTTTTTATCAACAAACTCGAGGAAAGCTATTTCTAAGGCCAAATAATTATAAGTTGATTGTACGCCAGCACAAGTTCAAGTTAACTAGTTCCTAAAGGAGAAATATATCTCTCCGCATATAAACCTAACCAATGGACACAGACAACAGGGGGGTGAGGGCATGAGTGGGGTGGTGGGTAATGGGGGGGTAAGGACACATATGTAATACTTTAATCAATAAAGAAATTAAAAGTGGGGGGAAAAAGAAAGAAAAAAGAAATACCTCTCTCTCGTACTATTATTTGCTTACTTCACAGCTCATCAAAAATACCATGGAGTGAAACTGCACTAACTCTTCATCTGTGTTTTATAAGAAAAGACAGTGGCTAGATGAAAATTCATCCAAGTTTGCCTCTGTCCCACTAACACAGATAAGTTCACCTCCTCATGAAATAATAGGTCATGTTCTATGTCTCTTCCTTCCTCACTTCGGATACAATATTAAACAAATATTACGCCCAGTCCTCAATCCACCTGTTATCAAGCATATGCTCCACATTCATCAGTCATCTTGGCCTATCAGTTGGGAATTTCTCCATGGCCTGAAACTGTATTTGAAAAACAAACAAACAAAACAACTCAACCTTTTGGTCTGCTATAAGTCCCTGGAGAGTGGGAGGAAGTGGGGGCTAGTGAGAAAGCAGAGCAAGGTTCTCTGTCCTCTAAACACTGAGGGATGTATTATAACCTCAAGAGGCAAAGGAAAACCATGTAAATTATCTCTTTATCCAGTGATTCCCCCACAAATAATGACCATGCAATTTTGTTTTGATTCAGTATTTCCAGGATGGATGACTCCCTACAAAAATATAAAAAAAAAAATCCAAATAGCTCTTTAGTGTGGTTTAAAAAGAGGAGGGGGGTTAGTCCTTCCCTTGCAAACATATTCCTTTGCAAGGCCAAGGATTTAAGCTTCAAAATCCTAACATAGACCACAATCGTTTTAGTAAAACCCACAGCACAGAGCCAATGCCCAAAGCTCACCCAATAAATCTTACTGCAAGTTTCCATCATAAGGCGTTTGGAGAATTCCGGTCTTAAAAGACACTGAGGTTGAAATTTGCTAAACCACATTTCCCAAGATTACTGAAAATATCTATGTATTTTCCCATCATGGCACTGATAGAAAATACGGTATAGTACACCCAGAGTAAAACAAGGCTGCTACCCGCCAGCCAGCAGCTCCGGGGGCCTGTGGATGAGATCCCTGTCTTGGACCCTTGGAAGCTGGCCCCTGTGCTGCAGCCCATCAGCTGCAAGTTCTGGTTCAACACCGCTAGTCTCTTACAGAATTCTCAGCCACTAACTTGAACTAGCATCAAGGAACTTTGGAATTAAGGACTGTTATACAGCTTTTTCATACTATTCTTTAAAAAGTACAGAGATCTGATAAAATCTGACCAATTATACAGCGTTCTTTTATTATTCAGTGGTGGGGAAAGGCTAATTATTTCAACCAAATAGAGTGGGGGGAAATCATCTTTAAACATGTATGGCTTAACCCATAACATTATGTTAAATAGTTTTAAAATGCTGACATTTTATTAAAATGAATTTAAAATCCTAGATTACAAATCAAACTTGACATATTATTCTAATCCCTTTTGTGTTCACTGTAAGAAACTGGTTTACAAAACTAATGAACTGAATGGCAGTTGGGTCGTAGAGATAAGACAAAAAAACATATATACTAACATCTCAATTATCAAGTATAAAGAGAAAAAACAGATTTAAAACAAATTATTTCATTAATCTTTAATGTTTCTAAAGCAACATTCTGACTTTCAATGTGTGTATGTGGGTGAAATTAAAGGCTTATAAGCATTTTCTCTGAAAATGTTTTAGGCCCTCTGGGATTTCTTAAAAAACAACTCATTTTCACTACTTTTAGCTATGCTCTCCTGACCTTTAGCAACAGTTTATCTCCATACCCAAGAATTTCTAGTCTTTCCCATAGTATTATTTCTAATACTGCTGTCTCATAATTCACAGGAGATATATATATATATATGCTGGTAAATTTGCTGTACTGGTGGGACTAAGGCAACAATGACAAGGGATAAAAGGGAATGTGGTGGTTTTTCAAACTCCCTCCTTCCTAGAAATTTCTAGAAGTTGAGAGATTGGTCACCTATTTTTCAGGTATATAAAGGTCAATCACAATCAACAAGGACTTGTCCTAGTAGGTTTCACCCACTCTTTTGCTTAACTCCAAAAAGCATTTGTGGTCACTGATCAAACAAGGAGTCAATAGGTAAAAAGCAACTTAAAGTTAGCTGAATTTAAGAGGCGATAAAACATTCCATCCATTCATTACATTACGAACAAGAAACATAAAGCGAATGAAAAATATCTAAAAACATTTTTAAAGTCTGTTTCAGAGCCAAATAAGAGAACAAAGAGGACAAGGTATACTCTTTACTTCCAGTGAGAAATCATGTTCCAAGATACAAACAAAAATCAAAAGACACAACGTACATCCCATGAGGGCAGACTTCCATCTATTTTGTTCATGGGTATATCCCCAGTACCCAGAACTGTGCCAGCATACAGCACCAACATTTTTAAAATAAATAATCAGAATAACAGCTTTAACTCTCGTTAAGTTTTTTTGGATTTTAAATATAAAAGCCTTAATGTAAGTGTGCATTTAAAAACATAAAATGCATACAATCTCTAGAAAAGGGGCTGTCAAGTGTGGTCAGTGGACTCCCCAGAGGTCCTGAGACCTTTTTAGGGAGTCTGTGAGGTCAAAACTGTTTTGTTTTTTAAAAGGGGTTTCACTTAAGTTCTAGTATGTGCCATTAGCCTAAGGATTTCGAGGACCCCTCCCCATTCATGCTTTGAAAGAGCATGTCAGGGAGAATTTCAGCCATCATTTAACTCACTTGACCAAATAGTCAGTTCCTTTTCCTATGCTCTCAGGGTGTCCTGAACCTCCCCTTCATAGCCCTTATCACTTGAAATTTATGTGGTTAACACCTAACCCCCCACTAAACTGTACAGTCTGCAAGGGCCAGGACCACGTCTCTTTGGGGTCATCATTGTATCCTCAACCCCTAGCACACTGCTGGGAACAGTAAATACTCAAACATTTGCTGGGGGTGGGGGAGGGGGGAGGATCAGTTCTCTTACTTTTTTTCTTTGGAAAACATTAGGAATTTACAATTGTTTTCTTTGTAAGAATGGTGCCTTCTAATAAGATTCATCAGAAAATGAAATGGTAGGTGTTCCTAATTATCTCCAACTTCTAAGATCGGAGATGAGTTCTGGGTCCACAATGACTGTCTCCAAGGGTTGAGTCCCTAAATCAAGTGAAACGGATGCAAGTAACTCCATCACTAGAAATAAGACAGGTAAGGAGCTGGACTAACTTTCTAATAGGTTACAATACAGACTGGTTAAGTACATGAGGTTCTTTTCTTCGAGAAAAGTTCATGGCTGAGAATGACTAACGGGAAGGTTTGCTCGTCCTTCCAGGCTGGTTATATGACTACACCCAGACATACGCAGGCTCCTTCTACTTCTCTGGCACATGCTTCCTCCTCTCTTCACTTTCCCTTTTCTTTGTACCACTGGCTGAGAGATGGAAAAGCAGAGTCTGACCGGAAGGAGAGAGGACTGCAATCAAGTGCAAGCTAACAAAAGAAAAGCTAAACTCGTAAGTCATTAGAAACAAAAGAAAACTTACAGGAATAAGTTACCGGACACAAAATTTCAGAACAGTTTCCTCATTTGTAAAATAAGAAGGCAAAACAAATAGTTTTTAAGGTTCCCTTTTCCTTTGCCATTCCTAAGAATGAATTGGTGGAAAGAAAGGGGTAGTAGCAACGGAAAGCATGCCATTTGTTAGTACTTAATAGGTTATCATTTTAATCAGTTAAAGCAGCCACCTTAGTTATTAAATGAAAATCAGAATGTAACTGTAATAATAACCAAACTCTCAATTGTGCATGGTAATTCAGTAAATAAAATAAGTGAAGGCAGAAAAACATTTTCCTTAATTTAAGGTATTAAATATATCCACTGGTTGACTAGAACTCTGGAATCTGAATATTAAAACTTTATTTAGTGATTGTAATATTATATACGCCCCAAAAGTTTATCTTTGCTTATTGATTAGAGGTATTTTTTGTTTTCTTTGCATTATTTTGTTTCTTAAATTTTCTTTGATAAACTTGTATTGCTATGTAATTAAAAAATGTTTAAAAATACCCTTTATTTCAAGATCATTTGAATAGTATTCCTGCCCATCCAAACAATACTATTTTTTCCCTACATCTAATTACCTGAAATATTCAAGCTAATTATCTAGATGTTTCTTTAGACCTACAAGTTTTATATGAAAGTTGAATAGGTGGCATTTAATGGGAGATATCCTTAAACTAAAAGATTCTTCTTACATATGGAAAATTATGTTAACTAATTAACAATGCCACTTAGACTAAGAAATTACATGTCAATAGCCACTTAGACTAAGAAATTACATGTCAATAGCCACTTAGACTAAGAAATTACCTGTCAATGAGAGCCCTTCATTACTTGGTAATTTTAAGAAGGAAAAAAACACCTAGAGTTCTCAGTAACACCAATCTCCTTTAGCATCTCCTTCAGAATGCTCCTTTAAACTATTACTGTTGTCATTGTTATTATTATTACATCCTTCCATTCTTTTTTGCTTTAAAATAGCTATTGATTCCCTACAGAGAAAAATCCTAAACTGAAAGCCTGGTTTTAGCTCCAAAGTGTCACACCCTCTCTCACTCCTTGTGGACACCTTTGTGCAAGGTTTGCTACCAGCTACAATCCTAAGGCTCATGTATCCTTCCCAATCTGATTCACTCAAAGGCCACCTCCTCTGAAAAACTTCCTTGGCATTACAGCATTCTCTCACCTGGAACGCCATCTAAATTTTAACAGAGTGCTATGTGAGCTTACATGTCAACCATCTCCATCGGTCTGAAAGATCAACCAGGTGGATAATGTTTTATTCATCTTTGCATTTTTTAAGGCCCAGCATAAACTTTGGACCAAATTAATCTGGGTTCGAATCTCAGTTATCTTAAAAATAGTAGTTGGCCCTATTTAAAATGCATAGGGTTTACCTTTAAATGTAAATATCTAACTTCTTTTTTTCATTTGATATATATTCTTTAAAAAACAACCAGAAACTCCACTCCTCTCACATACACAAACAGCAAATACAGTTAATATTAAATCTCAGCTCTGCCACTTGTTGCCAGGTGACCTGATAAGTTTCTCCACCTCTCTAAGTCCCAATTTCCTCCTCTGTACACCAGGATGTCACCAACCTACAGGTATATATTGTGCGGATTAAGGGAACATATACTTGTACCAAGCCAAAAAAAACCCCGCATATACAGTAGCTTCTAATTTCCTTTATTTGCTTTATATATCAAAAGAGAAGATAAAAGAAATCAATAAATTACTAAAAACCACTTTCCTCCATGTCCCTTTCCCTTTTGAGCAATAATTGTTTTCAAAAGAGCCTCTACCCAGGGTAACTCTGCTTTCCTCCTATGACAGCAGACTGTACATTTTAAGCAGGATCAACTAAAGAACTCCTAGCTGAATTCTGATTTATGAATCTTATGCAACAGAGCTGTTTTTCATCCTGCTCAATGGGAACAGTCCCCCTAAACCTGGGTGGTGTGGACTAAGAAAAATCTGAATAATATGTAGACTAATTATTCATTGTAACTAACTCATGATGTTCCTGTTCATTTACTACTTTTCTTGGACAATAGTATAAGATGTCGACACACTTCTAAGAATCCATAATCTGGAAATGCTACCGCAAATCTGTATAGGGTTTCAAGAAAAGCAAAATAGTATATTGATTTCCAGTCTTGTCCCTCAAGAGATCCCTAGGGGACAAAAAGGAAAACAAATATTAGACTTTGGTTATGCCAGTGTGTTTTGAGTGGTAGACTGGTGAATAACTTTATTTCAACATCTAATACATACTAGTCACTGAGATAGGGACATTATATATATTGACTTACTTAATCTTCAGCAGGTATTAAAATGCCCATTTTACAAATGAATAAGTGGATCAAGAAAGAAAACACCCAGTAAGTGGTGGAGTCACAATTCAAACACAAAACCCTATGCTTTTGTTAGGGGCAGAAATAGAATAGTGGGGGCTAGGTATAGTTATAAGAAATATTAATCACGCTCCCTTAATTGTGATCGTTCTGTTCTGATTAAAGAAAGCACATTCTAATCTGGCTGGGAGTTGTACGCTCTGGGCCCTGGGAGTTAACCTTTCAATGTGGTCCATTCTCCTTATCCTTATCCAAGAACTTCCTGGCCTCATGGAAAGGTTAACAATCTTGTTGCTGAAACAATGCCCTTTGCAACCTCCTGTAATCGGTAACCATTTTACCCATTCTGATTCCTTTTGCCTACTTCCCCAGGCCTGTAATACCCATGTATTCCTTTTGCATACATTCTTACTCCTCTTACCTACTTTGCCATGTAATCTTTGTCCTTCTACCCAATATAAGCAGCTGGTTCATGGGGGGGAGGGAGAGGGCAGAGCAGATTTTCATGCATGACCTGCTGCTCTCCCATGCTGCCAGCAGTATTGGAATAAATACTCATATATGATTCAACGCTGCTCTGCTTAACTGGCTCAAGTAGAGACAGGCAGCCCGGACCCATTTCTTGTCCGGTTTCACTTTCTTTCCTCTCTAGATCACCCTGGCTTCTTGGCATTACCGTGAGTTTATGAAGCTAATTTAATCGAAAGCAGTTACCTTTTAATAAATTTGTTTTAATTCAAATTGTTAGGGGCAAAAATAGAATACTGGGGACTAGCTATGATTATAGGAAATATTAACCTTACTCTGTTAACCATGATTGCCTTGTGTTGGTTAAAGAAAGGGCATTCTGACCTGGCTGAGAGTTGTATGCCCCCAGGGCCTGGGAGTCAACCTTGGAACGATTCTCATTGGGAACAGCCTATTGTCGTGGGAAGATTAATAACCTTGTTGCCCAAACAATGGAGTCCCACCCTAGCCTCCTACTTCCCCATGTAATCCTTGTCCTACCCTATATAAGCAGCTGGTTTATGGGGGCTTGCAGAGCAGATTTTTGTTGATGACCTACTTGTTCTCCCATACTGCCGGCAGTAAACGCTCATATATGATTCAACCCAGTCTCTGCTTAATTGGCTCAATGCCATACCATCACTGTTAAAGAATTTTCTATATACTGGTAGGTCCTTAAATACTATTTCTAATACTAACCTATACTTTACAGTACTTTTAAATTTAAGTTCTTTCCCACCTATCACCTCATCATCATGTCAATCCTGTGAGGAAGCTGGAAATGTATCGTTATTTCTATGTTATAAATAAGGAACAAAAACAAATGAAAACCAAGTCATTTGCCTAAAGTCCTGGACAGAGCCAATTCTGAAACCCGATTACCAGTGCTCGTTAGATCATGGCCCTTGGTTTCTCTTCTTTAATGATTCTCTACTTTAAAATTCAACAAAAGCAACAATTATACTTATGTGGACTAGTGGTAATTTTGTGATCTTTTCAAATAATCTAGGCATTGTGGACGAAAGGGGCCACATGCTAACCTAATAAACTCAGGGAAGGCCTGCGTGGCGGTCTTGCAAACTCAGAGACCTCAAATAACCACAAAGGATGGTCTGAAATTAAACTTCAACTAAAAGCAGTTATGGTGGGTAGTTACATCCTAGGCCGGTATCTTCACTGACAAGGTCAACCTTCACCTTAACTGAGCTGATCTGTCTTTTTGCATCTATAATAACATACCCTTTGAAATGTCTAGGTAACTTGTAACTTCCCTTTTTCTGGACCCCTTGAAGCACAACCTAATATGCTGGGCCCCAGGACAGATACCACAAATTCCTTCATCATCATGTTAATTGTTCCTGCACCCACCTAAGTATGTGTCTATCATTTTACTTTTTATCCAATCCCAGGGGTTTCCCTACTTTGCTTTCTCCTGCCTCTCTAGTCTATCACCAATGGATTTCATGTAACTCACCTAAGTCCCTTCCCTTTGATTGCAAAGTATAAATACAGATGTAACAGGCCATTCTCCGGAGCATTATCTCAATTCATTGAGGTTCTGCTTCCCAGCATTTGTCGACAGTTTGGCTCAAATAAACTCACAAAAATTATTTACAGGTTTCCATGGTTTTTTACGTTAACAGCATATTAATATGATGCTATGTTTGCAAAAAGTTAGCTCCTTGCTCTAGCCGGTTTGGCTCAGTAAATAGAGCGTCAGCCTGCAGACTGAAGGGTCCCAGGTTCGATTCCGATCAAGGGCACATGCCTGGGTTGCGGGCTCGATCCCTGTTTGGGGGCGTGCAGGAGGCAGCCGTTCAATGATTCTCTCTCATCATTGATGTTTCTATCTCTCTCTCCCTCTCCCTTCCTCTCTGAAATCAATAAAAATATATTTAAGAAAAGAAAATGAATGTCTAAATCTGAATGGCACCATTAAAAAAAATTTGAATAAACGTGCCTAACAGTAAAATCGGCTGTTTCCATAGGAGAAAAAACAGTCTATTAATATTGGATTTTAACTGTTTTTAAGAGAGACACGATATAAAACGTGGACAGTGGTTTCTCTACCTCAATATAAAACCAAAAGCTCAGTATTTTTTAAAAACCTTGAGTAGTTTTGAAATGGACGACCAATGGGTCCTGCTGCCTGTCACTATTTGAGCCACTTAAGCAGAAATAGAGTTGAATCATTTATCAGCATTTATCCCAATAATGCTGGCAGTGTAGGAGAGCAGCAGGTCATCCACAAAAATCTACTCTACCCTCCGCCCCATAAACCAGCTGCTTATATCGGGTAGAAGGACAAAGATTGCATGGGGAAGTAGGCAAAAGGACTAAGAATGGATATAATGGTTACCAGTCACGGGCAATGTGGGCAAGGGTTGCAAAGGGCAGGCACCTCTTTCCATGATAAAAGGCACTTCTCAGATAAGGAGGATGGACCCATTCCAGGTTAACTCCCAAGTCCCCAGGCAGGTACAACACTCAGCCAGGTTAGAATTGTGGACGAAAGGGGCCACATGCTGACCTGACAAGCTCAGAAAA